TGTGAAGCAAGCACTCCACCGCTGATCTACCCAGACCGAGTCTCTACTTTTCTTAAGGTCCTTATCTGAAGTTACACATCAATTTCTAGGAACCCCAATGAAGTTCAGAGGCCTCACATATTCACAAGTGTATATATATATATGTATGTATGTATATATGTATATATATATATATACATATATATATATGGATCATACAAGTCAACAAGAGGCAAACCAGGTGTACAGTTCTATGAAGAGTGGAACTGGACCACCTGAGGAACACTAACAAGGGGGGCAGCTGCCATTTAGTTCCAGCCAATGATCACATGGGAAATAGGATTCCATTGGTGATAAATCTTAGTCAGAAATTTATTTAAATACCAAGTTTTTTACCTTTAATGTTGTCAATTCGCTTTTTGAAAGACCTTCCAAAAACTGCTATGAGCCGAACAAAAACATTCTAGGGCTCTGATGTGACGCGTGGTGGTCATCTTTTAACTGCTGCTACTTGTTAGTTACTGGAAAGGCTAAGTTAACATGGATTAAAAATTATTCCTCTGAGTTTTTTAATGTCTATGAGAGAGACTTCTAGGAGCTATAAAAACAATCACTCAGAAGTTACGTTGTCTTTGAAACCATTCAAGATTTCAAAGTTCCAAATTCAAAGTCTTAGTTCTTTCCAAAGTTTTTAAATTTATGTTACAGATTTATTTGTTCATAACAAAGAAATTTGATTAAATATTTGATCCAAATTACATTTAAACTCCCTTAAGTAACTTAAATGAGACCTAAAAGGTTAATATACTTGATTTCCTCAAGTATTTCATTTACCTGACCAAATCAAACCTTCCCATCTACTTAGTACTATCCCTAACAAATTAAGTTTATAAGTACAGCCAACATTGCCATTTTATTGTTGTTGTTGTTGTTTTTAAAAAAAAAACTTTTTAAAAATTTTGCCTTTTCTTTTTTGGTAGTGGGGCTCAAACCCAGGACATTGCACTTGCCTAGGCAAGTGTTTTGCCTCTGAGCTACATCCTAGCCTTACCATTGCCATTTTAAATGTTCCAAAACTACACAGAAACTTCAAGAGATTTCAACTTAAAAAAAAAAAAACTTAACAATATACATTTTCTTCCATATGTCAAGAGTTTAAAACAAAATTTCAACAGCCGGGCACAGTGGCAATGCCTGTAATCTCAGCACTCTAGAGGCTGCTAAGTCAGAAGGATCAAGAGTTTGAGGCTAGGTTGAGCTATAGTGAGATTGTCTTTTAAAAACCTGCATATATTCCATAAATCAGACAGTAATGATGTGAGTTTAATGCTACGTGGGTTAAGCATACATATTCTTTGTTCTAAGGACTCAATCATTAAGTTTATCAAGAAAACAACTGAGGCCACTTTCCATGGGTTACCTTCTCAGGTGACTAAGATTACAAAATAACCAGAAACTCTGGTTGGGGTAATGGTTGATTCAGGAGGGACCCAGAAGCCCTTATTTACAGACTTTTAAAGCCTTATCACATGGCTCCCACTACATATCAAGATTATTATGGGCTGGTTCTTTTCAGCACTTAACTGCATGCCCTCACAGAAGGCTATCCCTCCACATGGGTGACTGTCATATACCTGGACTGGGTGATAGAGTTCCTTGGCTCTGAAAATAATTAAGATGTCTTTGCTTCTTGCTGATTTGTTTTATTCTTTTCTATAGAGACAGTACTCTTACAGATTTTCAAATAAACCTGGCTAAATACAGGATCTATCTCACAACCTGGATGTGACCTGTAGTCAGTTTCTGAGGTTCTGCTAATGGAATTCTGGTTTCCTCACCATTAGTTTAGTGTTCTGTCCTTAACTGGCTTTCCACTCAGGTACTCGATGGCACTCATCCCCTTTCTTAAGATTCACCTCTTGGCTTTACCCTCTGCACCCCACCTCTACACTGACTAGATAACCAGAGAAGCCACCCTGTGTCCAATATTGTAGAGCCCTACCCCATTCCATGACTCTTTTCCATTCAGACAGATTCTCTTGGGACCACTAGTCTTACCCCAGAAAGAAAAGGAAATCTGGCATTGTTTGCACTAAGACATGGGCAACTGAATCCTCCCTTTTCCACTAGGTAAACTGGATGCTTCCTAAGGAGAAAAGAAATGGAAGAAAGGGAACATTTACTGAGCACTTAATGGACACCAGGAACTGAGTTAATTGTTTCAACTGAGTTGTCACATTCATTCCCAATAGCCACATGAAGGGACCTGTTAAGAATTCCAAGCTCAAAGACACCAAGTAATATGACATTCTTATAGTTAGGAGAAGGCAAAATCAAGATTCAAACCTAGTCCTGTATCACTCTGAAACTCACTCTCTTGCTTACCACATTTACTTTCTTAAGTTTTGCTAGTCAAATGCTGGCAGTGTTTTAACTGAAAGGCTGCTTTACTGATTTCTGACTTGGCCTGTGACAAGTTCTAATCTGGAAATTTCCGAAATTCTGAGTGAAAGTGTTCCAAAACCTCTACTCCCAATAACAATCCAGTATTTATACCATGCTTGGTTTAAAGAGCGCTTTCACATATATTATCTACTAACTCAATAAAAGTAGCAATATCATTAACCAACTTTGGATGAGACTGGAGTTCAATGAGACTAACATACTTACCCAAAGTGCATGTAGTTCCATACTTAGGCTCTCAATACCCTTGAGCCTGTGCTTCTTTGATCTAGCAGTTATGTCCTATGCGCACACGTGTGTACACACACACACACGCACACACACACCATCCCAGCCCCTTTACACTGGGGTAAGATAGCAACTCAGAACCTAGATTTCGGGGCTGGGAATGTAGCTTAGTGATAAGAGTGCATGCCTTGCAGGCATGAAGCTCTGGGTTAGATTCCTCAGTACCACATACACAGAAAAAGCCAGAAGTGGTGCTGTGGCTCAAGTGGTAGAATATTACTTTCAGCTAAATGAAGCTCAAGGCCAGTGCCCAGGCCCAGAGTTCAAGCCTCAGAACTGGCAAAATTTTTAAAAAAGATGGTAAAGAACCTAGATGTGTTTCTCAAGATTCTGCTCTAGTAGAGCCATCTCTGCCCTTCATGGATTTCCAGTCCCTCCTATAACTTTTTTTTCCTTTTGGCAGCCATGGTAATCTGTCTCCTGTATCCCATACCACTGTGCTCTCTGCACATATTCTAGCTTCTTCTTCCTGCCTATGATTGCCAATGCTAGCCAAACAAATCTTACTGTGCCTCCTTGCCAGCCCTGGCAGGAAGAGGGGAAGAGGAGCAGGTTTGATGTTGATGTCTTATTTTCAGCATTTCATGTATTTTTTTTAATATTGTAGAAAATTTAAATTAAAATTTCATTCCCCAGTGATAGCAATGGTGAGATGGTGTCTCACAGAAGGGAGGGGCTGGTACCATGACAGGAATGGGTGCTCATACCTGTGCTCTGCTGTGGAGCTTAGAGGTGAAGACAGAAGCTGATGAGGCCTCTGGAGGCTAAAGACTGCTGCCCCTGAAGAAGGAAGGTAGTTATTCTCACATATATTGAACACTGAGTTTCAGGCAGTTTGTCATTCTGCCCAGGTCATGCGTATGGTAGACTCAGTATGGAAAGGCTTCGTTTTCAACCTCTCCCGTACACACTACATAGTCAAGAAGGAATGGAAACCTGACCCAGACATACCTTAGATTTTGGCTTAAGAAGCACAGCTTCACTGAAAAACAGAATTGACCTCAATGATCAAATGAATAGGTCTTAAGCAAATGGAATAAAACAGAAAAATTGGCTAAGGACAAAGAGAAGGCAGCCAAGTCCCAGAGCCAGTTATTTAGAAAGAGGTGACTGCAAGGTGACTCCAAGTGGCCTGCAGCCTAGAGGGATGGCTTGGCACAAGGTGTCTTCCCAAGGGGGCTAGTGCCAGAGTCTAAGGCAACATCTTGCCTTGAGTCACAGAGCCCTGGCTACGTGGAGATAAACAGGTCAGTGGGAATGCACTGAAGAAGGTGCAGAGAATCCCAACCAGCCAGAATATATCTCAGGCTGGAATGTGAGAACCTGATTCAACTACTCTTCCAAATAAGATCCCATTCAGAGGATAAGAAGAGTGGAAGTGAGCAGGTCCTCTCTGCAGATGTAGACCCAAGCAAGTTTAGTTTTCTAAACTAAACTTTTTGGGGGATATATCCTATCTGGCTCTTTCCTTGGAGTGATTCACAGCAAACTCTTTAAACACATGGGAGCAATCTTTGTCTTCAGATCAGGTACCCCTAATCTCTGGGTAGCTACTCCTCTTCCAGACACCAACTCTTGACTATACTTCCCGCAGAAAACCTACCCTCTATAAGCATCTGAATGGGTCAGCTGCTTCTCCTTCATGAGCCCTCGACTCCAGCTACCTCCCTCACTGAACTGAATGCCCAGAGGTAAGGACTAGCAAAGTGCTTGGGACAGAAGTGGAAACAAATGATAGCTAATATTCCACTCATGCATTTTTTTTTCTGAATTCTAATGTTCTGCCCTACAACAACCTTATCTTATAATTTAGACACATTAACAGGTAAACAAATTAAAGCAGAGGCTTGATTTGACTGCAACAGAATCTCTCTCAAAGGAATCTGAGAAGCTCTCTAATGATGGCAGTGCAATGAGGTGCTTGTGAGTCAGAGGTTGCAGAAGGGGACTGATACCATGAGGAGCCCTGCTCAGGAGCTGAGCAGTGCTTTAGGGTGAGAGGCACCAGCTTCAACAGCTGGAATGAGGAACCACTCAGCTCCCACTGCTATGTGCAGCAGGTATTTGGCTCACCAACCAGAAGACACATCAGCCATTTGCCTAGAACGGGTTTAGGTATCAAGACTTCAGTCTGCCCCCAACTTACATGGATAGCTTTAGGGGTATTTTTCCTTTTCTTTTCTATAATTTCCTTGAGAAAAAGAATTACTTAGATCTGTTTAAGCATCAGTAAAACCAAACCTTTGAGTAAGTCACATAATGAATATAACCACCATCACAACCATTTATTAAGTGCTTTGCCAGGCACTGTGCTAAAGCTTTACAGACATTATTTTAGTTAATCCAACAACCCTGAGGTAGATATTTTCAAAATCCCGGTACCCACCCCCACATATCATAGTTAAGGAAATTGAGGCTCAGAGAGATTAAGCAAATCAGCAGAGTTCAAATCCAGGTGATAAGCAGCAAAGCTTAGAAATCTGAATTTAGGGTATCAGACTCCAAAACCCATGCTTTCAAACTCTATGCTAGATTGTTTCTTTTTGAAAGTTAAAGAACACACTGCCTTTGTACAACTACTTTTTTTTAAGCATATTTTTTCAGAAACATGAAACCAAATTTTAGGTGGAGAGGGGCAATTAATTTTTTGAATCAGCTTTTGTACTCGAAAACTCTTGAATGGAGAACAGTCTTGGAAAAAGCTGGCCATGGAATATCATTCTCCTGTTCTCCTACCCTCCAAGATCATTCTCACCTGAGACCTCTACTCCTGACATGACACTTAAAAGTTTCCCGTCCAGCAACCACTTGCAGAGGTCAAACTTGCTGACACTGAGCCAAAGACCTGAGATAAATTAGGACATTCATAAGATGCCCCCTCACCATCCCTGAACTGATGAGCCCTAAGCACATAGACACATTTAGATGGCAACACAAAGTTCAGTTCTTCCACCTTGGCTTATGTAGTGCTGCTCCATTCTTAGTTTCCTAACCAACTGCCACCTCCTTCCCACCACCAGGTCTCATCTGAGACCTCACTAGTCATTGGTTCATGAGCCCCAACGCTGACAGTTTCTGAGCCTTTGTTCCCCAGCCAAGCCCCAAAAGTGCTTAGCAAGGCTCTATTCAGGATCCCATGAGCTATGACAGCTGAAGGACACGCAGAAAAGGCTGCCAGTGTGAGGCAAACTGAACCAGAATTACAAACTGACAAGGAATGGCCGGAGGACAGAGCAGACAGCACACAGGGAGTAACTAGGGATAAACCATTTGATCCATCTAAGGTCAGAAATAGAAGATAAATAGGTATGAACCCAGAGAGAAGGATCCATCTAAGGTCAGAAATAGAAGATAAATAGATATGAACCCAGAGAGAAGAGGCCAGAGCTTTGGGGGAAAGGGTCTTGGTGAAGGGGCCACTGGAGAGCCTGGCAGGAGAAAGTTCTGGAAAGGGAAGTTGAAGCATCCCTTTAGAGCAGGCAGTTTGAGAAGACACTGAGAGAAGTAGGCAGAGACTAGAGGATAAGCAGCTGGAGGTCCCAAAGAGGTCATGGACTGAAACAGGCCAGGGCCTCTGGTACCCCAAGCTACTTCCATGCACATGTTGCACCACCCCATCCAGGCATGAATGGTCACTGCCTGTAGCCCTTGCTAAATTCTGCACCAGATTTTGATGGGTGGAGACCCAGAGGTAGGGAATTTAACAATGTGAGAGGCCTATTCTTAGGGAGTCGATATGAAAGAGAATCCTCACTCTCATCCTTGAATGATTCTATGATTTAAGCATACTACAAACCACAAAAGCATATACAAACCATAAAACTGAGGAATACCGCTTAGTGCAAATACCGACTTCGAAGTTTGAAGGATCAGAGATGAGAACTCAGGAGACATGGGTTTTCTCTATGTTAAGACTCAGTCTGTTAATTAACCTCATCATAGGCTCACAACCTGTGACCAGAAGACCCAGTACCCTCCATAGTCATGATGGCACTGATGGGAATTGATGGGAAATCAATGTTGCTGGGAGGCTGCAGGATGAGTCCTTCTCTGGAGAAAGCGTTGCGCTATCATCTTCCTCCTCTCTACATAAAGTCCCTAACTGTCTACAAAGGGTATCAACAACATACACAGAAGCAGTGACCAGTTTCCCACCGGGGTTCTTCTCCAAGCAGAAGCTCCTGGAGTTTGGTTTAATTAAAAAAAAAAAAAAAAAACCACAGGCTTTTCTCTTAACTCTGTAGTGCTGGAAGCTGACAAATACTTGTCACAGGTGGGGAATCATCAGTGTTGACTACCAGAAAACACTTTCCAACAAACAGTAAACACATGGAAAAACTACTCTATTATTACCTATGCCCTAAAGCTTGTGTTTGACACCCATCTTTGTTGGCTCTTTCCCAAAGAAGTCTGTTTCTGTATCCACTTCAGGCTGCCTTGAAGAAATACAAGCTCCACCCACTTGTGGAAACCAGAAAAGAATATTTGAACCAAGAGTCTCTGGGGGATGGAGGGAGGGATGTCTTCCCATACTGGGCTGGCCCATTGGAAGGATCATTCCCCTTTCTGTCTCCTAACAGATTCAGATTAATGATCGCTCATTCCTAATTGTCAAATTTCTTTTCCTTCATCCTGTGTCTAATCACCAGTGACAGAAACCATTACGCAAATGAGAGCAGACGACTTCCCCCAACTGTTCGCGTTGGTAAAAACCTTGTAATTTAGAGCTCTGATTTGTAGGGGAAGCTGGTCTCCCCCAGGCATCTTGGGCATCTGCTCGATGGATGCCCAGAACAGCCCCTCCTCCTCCAGAATTCCAACACCCACCCCACCCCAACAAATATTTGATTTCACAAAACAGTAGTTTATATTGTACCTGATGTGGAAATAGGAGCTTGCAATATGGCTGACCTGAAGACAGGTCCAAGTCACATCTGACTGCCATACCGCTAGCTTGGATGGGGTAATGAATGGGACATGGGGTAAGAGTTACAGCAACATTTCCTCTGCTGCAAGCACAATTTGAGCCCCAACCACCCTAACTCCAGGTAGGTGGAGCACTTCCATCTCTTCCCTGGGGTAAGTGACCCAACAGAATGTAAACCAAAGCTCTTACATCTAGAACTGGAATTTCAACTCTGATGCAGAGATCTGCTAGGAGGAGCTCCTGGATGTTGTCAGCAAAGCACAGGGACCTAGAATTTCATCCCACACAATGGTCCCCAGCACGCTTAGCTTGTTATATGGTTTCTCAGGCAGTTTTACCAGGTGTCTTTAGTGGAGCCCAGAAGGACTTCCTGTACCCTTAGTCTTAGCTCACCTGCAGACACTGACTGAAGCCTGAGAACAAGGAATCAAGGGAAGATGGGGAGTTTGGTGGAAAAGGAGGATGAGGTGTTGCAAATATCACTTGGTTGCTACTAATCACTAAATCTCTTTGAGCCTATTTCTTCATTGGTGAAGTGGGAAACCTACCTTGCATGACAGTAAGGAAGAGAGATAAAAGCACTAGGCACATATTATGTATCTAAAAATCAGGAATTGCTGCTGTATTATCTAAGGATTAGGACTGACGCTGTGAAGGTCTCAGCCTTCTTTCCTTCTTCTTCCCCTCAGCCACCTTACAGCAAGCCTGTCAGCATTCTTTTTTGTAAAGACCAATCCATAGCACCCTGTTGTGTATCACCTACAATTCTGAGAGTTGAGCAGAAAGGCAGCACACTTGTTGAGAACAAAGATAATCTAGCTTTCCAACGTGACCGTGGCCAAGTTTATCTTTCATCTGCCCTGCTCTTTGTGGCACTCCTCTTTCCTGAAAGAAATGGAGGCATGGAGTTCACTGTAATCACATTTCCCAGCATTGGCTGTATTTTAAACAGCTATACTTGAGAAGGTACTGGGTTTGTAAATCCATACTCTATCAGAGAACCCCAGAATGGGGCTCTAAAATGAACACACATGCCCCAAATACACACACAGGTGCTCACACACATACACATGCATCTTTTCAGTCCATCAGGGCACTGTAAATGGAACTTCACACGTGAGAGCCATAGTTCAGAAGTAAACCTTTGGAGGGACTTCCAATGGATGATGGAGAACAGATTGGAAGTTAATAGACAAAGGGTCGCCTCTCTTCCTGGGGGCCCCAAATACCCCACTGAATAGATGTGAATGATGGCCCTCTGAGTTGTGCAATACTTAGCTGCCCAGCTGTAAGATGCAGCCCTGAGAAGGGTTCCCATGAGTAGTTGCTAACAGAAAAGGAAACTCTCCTTTCATGTTCTACCAGTTACCCTTTTGAGGGTGTAGAAGAACATCACAGTGGGGTCTGGCAGAGGCGCTGGCTTTAATAGGCAAGGATATGTTTCTGCCCTTGCCCCCTGGTGGATAAAAGGTAGTGAGTTAGCTGCCTAAGCTTGACCCCATTTGATCTACTCAGCCAAAAAGCTCAGCAGTAGTAGGAGACATGGCCTGGACAAGAGGGATAGGATCTGGAGGCTACTGCCTGTCAGCCTTAGGCAGGTTGCAATGAGACCTGACTAATACAGAACAGCTAAAATCTGAGTTAAAAAGCTGTAGTATCCAGGGACTCAAACCATATTGTCACACTGGACAAGGTAAGCAAGTGAAGAACCTTGGTAGGCAGGAAGCTGGCTAGTTTGGACACACCCACACATACACATGTGCAAATGAATGCACACGTGCATGTGTGCACAAAGAGGTTAACATCCCTAGCCATGCTAACTCTCTTGATAGTTACAGGGGCAAGAGCTGGTGCTAGAAAAGAAAAGCTGTATGTGTCCACAACTTAGAATGTAAGCACAATTCTTAGTTCTTATGTCCCAAGGTTCCTTTCAATGTATGGCTTAAGATTGTAGGTCCCAGCTGGAATCCTGTCCAGTCCTCTTCCACTAGACAGCTATCTAGGCTCCCAAAGGTAAACCTCCCTTTCATCTCCCCAGTAGAGTCTCAACAGCCATTTCTATCTGGCCTGCAGTCTGAATGTAAAAACTGGCTGGAGCAGACTGACCTAATGGACAAACTGCTTTGGCTCTGCAGTCCAGAAGCAGTGGGAGTGTAGGAGCATATCCTCTCTCTCAGGCTGAGGCACTGAGGCTACAGGAGATAGGTCTAAGAGCCAGAAGTGACATCCTGACCCAGGAGGAGGGAACAAAGATCAACTACATACCTGCATGTATGTGTGCACACATGCACACATGCATACACTCACATAACCCGAGGTTGACAGACTAACACAGAGGGACATAATGACAATCAGAAGCTAGGACTCCACACACTGGATGCAAGACTTTCGGGAGGCAGAGAAGGAAAGTGTTGGGGCACAAGAGGCAAGGGTGAGAAGTCTTTCAAAATAGGATTGGAGTACCAGCTACCCTTGCCTTGCCCCAAACACCTGCCTCCAGGGTCATGGCAAGAGTCCAGTCCATTGAAGTGCAGCGTGCAATACTAGTGCTTGGAGTCTCCTGTCCTCATCAACGAAGCAGTGTGGACGGGATAGCAGTCACCTGGCAGGAAGCTTTGACCCCTGGCAGGCTAGTTGTATCGCCCTTTGATCATTGTGTTCAACAAGGGGCCCACCTGTAAAGAGACAGAGGAGGATCAGAACTGCCTGGAGTTGGACTGGGTGTACCTAGAGATAGTTAATGCCCAGCCAAAGTCAGGGACAAGGCTCACATTCAATCCTGTGAGCAATCTAATCAAATTTATTTATGAAGATCATGGCGGGTGTGTGTGTGGGGGGTGCTTACTACATACACCCTGTATCTGCAAGTAGCACCCAGACAAGAGAAGACTGGAGGAGCTAAAAAGCTCCAAATACCCGAGAGTATGCCTACATGTTGCTCTAATGTTCTAGAGGAATGTTAAATGTTTCTCTATCTTCAACAAAAAGCTACCTATGATTATGCCTGGTGCTACTTCCCCATTCCAGAGGCATCTCTGAATGCTTAGGGTTCTTATAAGAAAAAAGAGTATTATAAATACAAACTTCCCTCGTTTACACAGTGGGCCAGAGATGCACCTGCATGGAAAGCAAAGCTACCTACAGCTTGGCCCAGCTGGGAGAGCACAAGATGCTTTATTGCCCACTTCCCATTCCAGAAGAATCCGTTTAGGGGTCCCCAGCTGGCACATAAGCCCCCTGGGGGACATTACTACTAGCATGGAACAGATTATAATTGATCCGTCAGTCACACCCAGTTCTCAACAGAAAAGGCTTTTCCAAACATTCTCGTAACCTTTATGAAGAGAGGATATCAGATACTGACAAAGAAGAGCCTTGGAGAATATTGCACCAACCCTGTCTTACCTCTTGTGGATTCCCCAAGGCTTCTCCAAGCATTTTTTCAATGTTTCTCATGATAGCCACTTTCTGATGAGCTTTGAGAGGATATTCAATTCTCTTAGGAGTGGGAGCCCCCTATAAAGGAAGCAGCAGCTCAAGAAATGCTCTTAGCAGCAGATTCAATATCACCTCACTGTTTCTATACTATTCTTCTAAGAAACTAATTCAATTCTATCCCTTTGCTTCTCACCTAACCTGGGAATCATCCTAGGGATGACCAACCATCTAACCCAGCCCAAACCACTTATTAGACCTACTTCACCCCAGCCCCAGTTCCATCTGGGCAAAACAATCAGACATACTCACCTTATACCAGAAGTTCACGGTGATAGTAATCCCTCCATTTAATAATGACTCTATGTGATGCCACCTGCAAGAGAACAAACAGGCTTCTAGTTACATTTCAGAGGAGATGGAAAACTCAGTAAAATCCAGTTAAAGGAAACAGCAAAGGTATCATATTCATACTCATACTGTTAAAACACAGAGTAACCTAGTCTCTTAGTAGCAAAGAAGTAAGAACAGTTTTTCCAGCTATAAGTCTCTTTGGATTTGGCAGATTGTTCTCTTTTCCTATAGACAGGATTATCTCCCCCACGTGTACGCATGCTCACATCTGGATATGCCAACCTTCCTATAGACTGCCTAAGACCAATCCTGCCACAACTCAGAAGGGACACAGATAAAGCTTTTTAGGGAATGAGAAAGATTCTCAAGAGGCCCCCAACCCTAGCTTCATCCTCACCAGTACATTGGGATGTAAAGAACATCACCAGGACCAACAACTGTTTCATAACCAACGACATTTTGAAAACTGGGGAACCTCTCGTAGTCAGGATTGTCAAAGTCCACCTAAGGGAGTAAAGAAAAAATAAAAGTCAATCACCAGGAGGGGGTAACAATGTTCGACAAGACATGTACTCATTACCATACTTATATAAATGTAACCCCTTTGTACATTATATCACCCTTACAATAAAAAAAAGTCAATCACCAAATCTTTACCAGTGACTATGTGCCAGTTACTTTGAAAAAGATGCCTTTAAAAAATGTTTTTATGGGGCTGGGAAGATGGCCTGGTGGTAGAGTGTTTGCCTAGCATGCATGAAGCTCTGAGTTCGATTCCTTAGTACCACATACACAGAAAAAAAGCTCGAAGTAGTGCTGTGGCTCAAGTGGTAGAGTGCTAGCCTTGAGCAAAAAGCAGCTCAGAGACAGTGTCCAGGCCCTGAGTTCAAGGCCCAGGACTGGCAAAAAAAAGTCTTCAGAATTTATGTCTAGTAGAACACAATGCACATTAAACCTGCTTTCTTTCTTGAAGAACAACATCTACATAAAGCAGTGCTTACTTGAATATCAAGTGATAAAGAATCCTAGGTTTCAATGCTCCTGTGATGACTACCTCAATGGCCCAAATTAGGATTCATGCATAGTCCAAGCCTCAGAAACTTTTTCCTCTAAACAATTCTAACCAGGGGCTGGGAAGGTGGCTCAGTGGTAGAGCGCTTGCCTTGCATGCATGAGGCCCTGGGTTCGATTCCTCAGCACCATATAAGCAAAAAGAAAAAAGCCGGAAGTGGCTCTGTGGCTCATGTGGTAGAGTGCTAGCCTTGAGCTGAAGAGTTGAGGGACAGCGCCCAGGCCCAGAGTTCAGGCCCCACAACTGGACCCCCACCCCCCCAAAAAAAATTCTAACCAAGTAAGACTTGTATGAAGTAATTATGCAGCTTCCACCTCAAGAAAGAAGGGGTGTCTTTGGATAGCCACCAACTCAACTATATGCCTCACTTAGGTCCATGAACTACACTGTGATATATCTCACTTTTATTCACCTACTTCTATATAGAAAGAAACAGCATGTAACAATGGTTAAATCCAATGGAACGTTTTGTTCCTTGAACTTGTAAGCCAATCAGAGTAATCTGAGTCCACCAACATCAATGATGGAGTCTGCCCCCCAAGAATTAGCTCTACGGGCTGTTTATACTTGTAAACATCTGGGGACTACCACAAGAGCTTGGAATATGTGAGCTACACTGTGGAATTATCCTGTAGGATTTCATCTAAGGCAATACCAGCCACTAATCCAAATCTGGCATTACTACCATAGGGAAGGGGACAAAAGCTTTTGATTTCTAGGCACTCCTAGAATCTGGAGTTCCACACCCTCTTCCACTCAAGCTCACCTGGCTCTGTCTGTCACATGGGTGATGGACAGGGTATGGATAGAGGCACTCAAATTGATCCGGAGGGAATAAGATACATCGTTTATGGCCTTTTATCTGAGCAAAGAAGTTCTGTTGCTCATCATAGTGAGCAGGTGTCACATTTCCTGTAGAAAGAAAGACATTTTCTTATCTGGAGAAGTAACTCTACTACACAAGTTAAACAAAGAGCCCAATCAATGCCAGAGAGAAACCCAGTCTACTCCCACCAGCTAATGGTTCCAAATCAAATTTTAGGCAGAATCATGGAAATTGCAATAACAACTTTTAGCAAATTAAATGTTACATTTATGAGTACTAAGTCCAGCAAATTATCACTAGGCAAGAGTCCATCATCAGGTAGCAAGGTAAACTTTCCTAAAAGATGGCTTCTGCACTTACTGAAGGCAAAAGCACATCAAAATGATAGTCACACATCAAACAGGGTAATATACTGCATATACTTGCACTCTTCTTGACTATGCCAAGAATTTTAGGGAAGTAAAACAGTTAGGAATGACTGACCGGCAGGTGCCAGTAGCTCACGCTTGTAATCTTAGCTACTCAGGAGGCTGAGATCTGAGGATCATAGTTCAAAGCCAGCCCGGGCAAGAAAGTCCTTGAGACTCTTATCTCCAAAAATCACCAGAAAACCATAAATAACACTGTGGCTCAAGTGGTAGAGTGCTCGCCTTGAGCTGAAGAGCTGAGAGACAGTGTCCAGGCCCAGAGTTCAAGCCCCACGACCGACAAAAAAAAAACCCCAAAAACAAAAAACAAATGACTCACCAACAACACATGCATGACCTGCTCTGAGGAGTTAACCAGTCATTTAAGTTGTATAAATATGTCCTTACTTTGGGTAGGTCTTTTGAAGCTCCCACTTTACCACATTTGTGGGATATAACACTCCCACAGCAACACTTGGGCTCAATGCAGCTGTGACTTTCACTGAAGGGAAGTTTATCAGACTACAGAAGAGAGTGATGTAGAAATAAGGTATATTATATCACCTGGTGTGTATGTTCCATCTATTCCTGTGTAACTGAAGTTACCTCTGTACCATTTGCAGAATCCTTGCATTTAGAAAACATTCTCTAGCCTAGCCTAGATATGCCCAGACAGTTGCCTTCTCAAATGCTGAGAGTCAATATGACCTCAAAGGACAGTTGTTCTCTCATTTCTCCCTAAGGAATCCCTGTGCCCCACCTACCACAGGAAAAGAAAACGACAGAAAAACTCTGAATCATGGAAGAAGAACTGACTGCCCCCTGGCAAAACAACTAAGAAGTGGCATCAAAGGAGCACGTATATGTCATTTTGTAAGCTGCACTGCTAGAAACCTTCAAATCCAAAGCAAAGACCATTAAGAATTTTCAGAGTTCAATAATCAGGTTAATGCCAACGAACAATTACTGATTCTTTGTTTTAAGAAATCCTAGCAACTCAGGAGACTGAGATCTGAGGATCACTGTTCCAAGGCAGCCTGGGCAGAAAAGTCCATGAGACTCTTATTTCTAATAAACTACTTACAAAAAGCCAGAAGTGGCACTGTGGCTCAAGTAATAAGAGTGCTAGCCTTGAGCACAAAGAGGCTTAGGGACAGTACCCCAGCTCTGAGTTCAAGCCCCAGGACCAAAAAAAAAAAAAGAAAAGAAAAGAAAGAATCACTATCCTACAATATTGTGAAATTTATGCAATCACTTAATCTTAATAAAAAATATTTTTAAAAAAAGAAACAAACAAAAAGCTGGGTGTCAGTAGCTCAGGCCTATAATCCTAGCTTCTCAGGAGGCTGAGATCTGAGGATTGTGGTTCAAAGCCAGCACAGGTAGGAAAGTCCGTGAAACTCTTATCTCCAATGAAGCACCAGAAAACCGGAAATGGTGTTGTGGCTCAAGTGGTAGAGCACTTGCCTTTGAGCTGAAAAGCTGAGGGACAGTGCCCAGGACCAGAGTTTAAGCCCCACGACTGACAAAAAACAACAACAAAAAAATATATTCATCATTCACTAAGTATCTATTGAGGGCCTTTACTGGTAGAAATAAAAATGAGACTATAAGGACTGAGGCATGGCTTAAGTGGTATAGCACTTGCCTAGCAAGTAGGAGGCCCTGAGTTCAATTCCCAGAATCACATACACACATCTAAAAAAGAAAAAAAAGAGAAAGAGACAATGAGCCTGCCCCAAATATAGTGCTCCTTCCCCAAATGGAGTCTAAACATATTTTATTCAAGAGAAAAACAGAAAACATCCACAAATCTGCTTATGTGTGCAATTAACACAATAGGACCTCCAGGGAAAGAAAATGAGAAGGTGGGAGAGAGAGGTAGAAGAAAGACTTACAAACTTATTTATTATTTCTGAATTTTCATCTCCATAAACATTTAAAAGATAAAGTTGAATCTACATTGGAAAAAGGTTATTTCCCTTTTTGCTAGGATAAAACCAGAGAGAGCCAATAGATAGCAGCAGCATTTCAGACGTTACAATATCTCAGCATATGCACCCAAAGAACAGCTAAGAAAGAGAAAAGCAAACTTTTTTTTTTTTTTGGGTCGGTCGTGGGGCCTGAACTCTGGGCCTAGGCACTGTCCCTGGGCTCTTCAGCTCAAGCCTAGCATTCTACCACTTGAGCCATAGCGCCACTTCCAGCTTTTTCTGCTTATGTGGTGCTGTGGAATCGAATCCAGCACCTCATGCATGCAAGGCAAGCACTCTACCACTGAGCCATCTTCCCAGCCCAGGAACTTATTTTTAAGAGGGCATGAAACTAGGTTAAAGGCTCAACACACTATCTCATTTAATCACCATAGCTGTTTATAAGATCTTATGATATTTCCTTTGCAGATGAAAAAGCTGAGGCTTAAAACAAGTTCAGTGACTTCTTATATGACATAGAACTAGTAAGTGATAGAGACAGAATTAGAAATCAGATTTGAATGACTTCAAGCCAAACTACTTTCTAAGATATTTCTTACCTTCCATGCCAATGAGCAGCAGGTTAGAGGTCAGCTGCCCCCAGCCACGCTTTACCTGTTGTTTATTAATCCAGTTCCAGTTAAAACCCAAGAAGTCCATGACAATCTTCCTACCCACAGTGTCATTCAGAGTTTGCTGGAGATACAACCTATGTTCCCCAAGAAAAAAATTCCATCAGCGTGTGCACACAAGTCCCCAACATGACCTCCCCACATCTGAAAATATAAACCACCAGCATCTCAAGCAGTTAAAGTCATGAAAATTTTGGCCGATGTGGATTCTCACAAAACTGAATTCTTATCTTGCATTCTCTGAACACCAGGTTTCTAAAAAAAAAACATCATTTTAAGTCTTTTATCCTTTTAAAAACTCAGGGCTCAGTCGGTACCAGTGGTTCACATCTGTAATCCTAACTACTCACTCAGAAAGCTGAGTTCTGCGAACTGTGATTTGAAGCCAGCCCAGGCAAATTTGAGAGACTCTCTTTTCTTTCTCTTTTTTTTTTTTGGGGGGGGGGGTCCAGTTGTGAGGCCTGAACTCTGGGCCTGGGGGCTGTCCCTCAACTCTTCAGCTCAAGGCTAGCACTCTACCACTTGAGCCACAGCGCCACTTCCGGCTTTTTTCTTTTTGCTTATGTGGTGTTGAGGAATAGAACCCAGGGCCTCATGCATGCAAGGCAAGCGCTCTGCCACTGAGCCACCTTCCCAGCCCCTTGAGAGACTCTTACCTCCACATAACTAGCAAAAAGCCAGATGTGGAGCTGTAGCTGAAATAGGAGAGCACCAACCTTGAGCAAAAAGCTAAGAGCACAAATCCTTGATTTCAAGCTCCAGTACTAGTGTAAACGAACAAACCAAGGTTCTCCACAAAGATATACATATGTGTGATTCTACGGTTTCCTAGAAGCTTATCCACAAAGCCATTTGTTCCAGAGGCTCTTAAGGCCTGACATCTTCTTTGGCCTTTGATAGCCATTGTGGTAGACTGCACTCCTGTTTACCAGAAGGTTGTCCCTATCAATAGAAGAGGCACTTTTCTGCGCCCACTTAAATTAGATTGGCTTTTTTAACTTTCTGACCAATGAAGTGTTCACAGAATTGACTTGTGTTGTGTCCAGCTGTAATTTTAGGAGACAGTACAAACTATCCCATCTTTCCTTCTGTCACAGCAATTGCCAAGGTCCAGCTAGAGCTGTTTCTGGGCCAATTTGGACCTCAGGAATCAACAAGATGATATAAGAACAAGATGACTTCACCTATAATGAACATGTATAAAAGTGAGAAAAGAACCTTTCTTGTCTCCAGCTTGAGCTCTAACTTGAAATCTAGTTTATCTTAACTGACTTAACCAGCTATCCAGAGCAGCTTTCTACAGCCTTATCAGGTGCACACCCAGGCTCCTTACATATCTGAGGAAGGTCATGTGTTACTCAACGAATATGAAAACTCTACCAGAGATGTTCACAGTGGGCAGAGTTGAAGAAGAGTCAGAAGCAGCCCTGTCTTGGTTCTAAGAAAAATACTTAACCTAAAATTGTAATGGTTAAGGCAATGTTGTTATTATAATAATAATCATTATTATTGATAGTACTCTGTTTAAACTCGAGTCAAGTACTTGCTAGGCACGTGCTCTACCCCTTAAGTATACTTCCAATCTTTTTCATCTCTAGTGGATCTTGCTATCCTTTAGCCCCAAATCACAACAAACCACATAACTTTTCAGCATGAACAGTCTCCAGTTAGCACAATATCTTATAAGACCTGCAAACTGTTTTAGGGATAAATCTAATGAGAAATAGCTTTGTTTAGGCTTCTGCTTAAAATTCTTTAAAAGTTGAATAGGTGCCCACACTTAAAAGTCCAAAGACTGTAAATAAGAATCCTCATTTTGAGCTTTTTTGAAAAAAACCAAACAGAACATCTAGCAATTCTAAGACTTGTCCTATAAATGAAATAATTATTCCTCACTTTGAATAAAAGATTTTCCTTCAGTTTCCTTAGTTTCCACCCAGATATGTTTGTTAATTTCCATCATTTGACTGACCTCTCAAGCCAGGTTTGACTCTCAATCATTTTGAGGAAAAAGAGACAGTAGAGATCCACAGCTCAGTCTAATAGTTTTCATATCCTTCAAGCTAGAAAGTCGACTGGTTGCTGCCCACCCCAAACCACCAAGTACAAGGTAGAAGGGAAGAATACCCCTTAGTATAAAGCCAGAGATTCCAATCTTTACTCACCTAACTCTGCCACACCTTCACACAAGCACAGGAAAGAAACATGGGTGTCATAAACCCACTGGTAAAACCAAAGTCTGCTAACTTACCTGTCTTCTCCTCCACGCTGCTGTATATCCTGCAGTTTCTCAACGAACTCATGAAATTTCATTTCCTGTCGGTTGGACTTCGGCTTAAAGTTCTGGAAGTTAGCCATCTTCTTCTCATCATAGTATAAGAACTTATGGGTGCTGGCACTGTACACAGAGAAGTCTCCATTGCCAATATTCTCTTGCAGATATCCAAGGTCCCATTTCAGGGCAGGATACACAAGATTTGTGTCAGTGAGCACCACAGGCTCCTAAGCCAAAGACACCAAGTGAAAAGAAGGAAATGCAAGAATTCCAAGAAGTAGGTGGGTTCACTTCCCTGACTCTCAACTTCAGAATCACTTTTCCCTTCAAGCAGCGCGGGCTCCTCACCGGCCACCTCTCCGCCGCCCTCCCCAGGTCTCCCCACCACCCGAGGTCCTGTTAGTGCACACCCGGGCGAGCCCCCCGCCGCTGCCCGCGTCCAGCGGCCTCTCCTCCCCACGGGGTCCCTTCCTCCTCCCGACCTAGGCGGGGCCCCGCCCCCCACCTCATTCTCGATGAGCTCTTCCGCCCGGGGGTCGCTCTGACTCAGACGTGGGATGGGTCGGGTCGGGAAACCATAACTGCGCAACTGAGATTCATCCCAGGCCGGGCCTGGGGCTTCGGCCTCCTCCCGAAGCTCTCCAGAAACCGACCCAGCAGCCTCCGCCGCTGTCGCCGCCATCTCTGAGCTAAGAAGCGGAAGCCCCGCCTGTTCCGGCCGAAACCACAACGGAAACCATAGAGATGAACCGAGAAACAGAGTGGTTCGGGCACGTGGAGAAGGAGCTCCACCTACTGGTGACTGACAGCTCTACAGCCTAGATTCCATCCCTGGAAAACTTAGGGCTAGACCTTGGTCCCTCAACAGAGAAACAGGGGAAAGGGAGGAAGAGGGGGACGGGGGGGGGGGGGGGGGGGGGAGGTCACAGACAAGCCAATCGACAAAATATTGCCTTAGTGTACCCAGGTCTACACAGGAAGCAAAGAAGGAGATAAGTGTAACTAAACTTTAGACATTAGAGTCATAGATGGAGAGAGAAGCAAGCCTACCTAAGGAAGACACATGGATAGATATCGGAAAAAAGACTACTCTGAAGTCTCAGGCAAAAGGTTAAGTGGAAAATACAAATTTTGGATGGAAATGTGGTTTAGTGGTAGAGTGCTTGCCTAGCATGCATGAGGCTCCCTGGATTCAATTACTCAGCACCACATAAAGAGAAAAAAGTGGAAGTGGCTTGTGGCTCAAGTGGTTGAGTGCCAGCCTTGAGCAAAAAGAAAAGCTCAGGGACAATGCTCATGCCCTAAGTTCAAGCCCCAGGACTGGCAAAAAAAGAAAGAAAGAGAGAAAGAAAGAGAGAGAGAAAGAAATAAGAGAAGGAAGGAGGGAGGGAAAGAAGGAAAGAAAGAGAGAAGGAAAGAGAGAGAAAGAAAGAAAGAGAAAGGAAGGCTGTCTGAGAAGGTGGCTCAGTGGTAGAGTGCTTGTCTCCCATGCCTGAGGCACTGTGTGGGATTCCTCAGCACCATATAAACAGAAAAGGCCGGAAGTGGCGCTGTGGTTCAAATGGTAGACTGCTAGCCTTGAGCTGAAGAACTGAGGGACATGGCTCAGGCCCAGAGTTCAGGCCCCACAACCGACAAAAAAAAAGGAAGGAAAAGAATATTCAAATCTTGCAAAATCATGCATGAGGTACATTGTGACACCTCCCTAGAGTCCCAAGAACTCAGGAGGCTCAGACAGGAGCAAATCATTTGAGATTCAGGGACAGCCTAAGCAAGCAACACAGCAAATCCTCTCTCTCTCTCCCCTAGTGTTTGAAATCAGGGATTCATGATTTCTAAGAAGATACTTTATACTGAATCATGCCTTCAGGTTATATATTCCCCATCTCTTAGAAATGAAAAATCAAGGACAGTTTTCTTTTGCTTAGCATCACTTGATTTTTTTATTTTTTGCCTATATCACCATCTCTCCTATTTGATTATATTTTGCTATGAGATCAATGCTATTATTAGTCGCCAACCATGGAACCCACATAATAACACTGGTTTAAAAAAGGCTGTATCAATGACCTCTAGTGCTTTATTTAAAAGTTCTTATGGCTGGATGTAGGGTCTAAATACTAAGGTTTTCATTATTTCCAGGTTTAAGGAAAGAACAAGATGCATGTAAATCAAATCCAAGTCTTGGAAGTCATCCGAAAGGGAATTAGCTGGATGTGATGGCCCACACTCCAAATCCCAGCCCTCTTGGGACAGGAAAATCAAGTTCAAGGCCAGTCTGGCTACATAACAAGACCCTGTCTCAAAAGACTATCAAATGCCAACAAACCAACTAACCGAATACAGCAATGGAACTTAGGGGACATTATGTTGAAAATGCACTATACAACTAGAGAGTGGGATGGGAAGGAAAAACTGGGTGAGAGTGAGGGAAGTGTTGTAACTATAACCCCTGTTTTCAGTATTTTCAAATAAAAGGTAATAATAAGAAAAGCAAAGGAAATTATTAGACCCATTTTTGTACACCCTACTAGTTCACATTAGCATATAGTCACTTTATTCTTCCTAATTAAGCTTTTTTTTCAAAAAAGATAGTTAACATTATTATCATCGAAATGATGATAACAATGAGACATGATGTAGCTGTGTTCTCCAAACGTGTGTGTTGGGAAGTTAAGCCCAATGCAATAGTGTTGAGAAGTGTAGACTCTTGGACATCTCTTTCAGGAATCATATCCATTATGGAAAGAGCTGTAAGCTGTGGTATGACACTGCTTGGCAGGGTTTAGTTTTACATTCATTGAGTTGAGGTGGCTGGAAAGTAGGAAGCTAGGAGCCAAGAGCCTAAATTTGAAGGAGGGCCACATCTGGGGATGGAAGGCCAGTAAAGGAGAAGAAAAAGGCAACAGACAATAATAATAATAATAAAAAAAGCTCGTCTTACTTGTATTGCTCCTGGTCAGCTGTCTACCTTAGGTGTTCAGGCTCTGAGTCCCCATTCTCTTAGTATATGTTTCTGTTAGATGAGGGAGGAAAGGAGCGCAGTAACACGAAATAGCAACGAAGTCACCTGCCTGGTTTTTCTCTCCTTCCTGCTATTTCCTCCTGCTCACTTTCCTAGCTATTTGCAGCACCGCGCTTAAAGCTCGCTCGGGATGAAGCCCGAAGGCTTTCCCCTCCCCCTGCCCCCCGCCCCCCGCTGCGCGCTTGGGCGGTCTTGTTTGGCCCGGCTCAGCCGCCGTCGCTGGCCTTTGCGCATGCGCAAGAGGAACCGCGAAGAAGGTGAAGATGGCGGCGTTGAGGGCAGGGGTCCTGGGAGTCCGATGGCTGCAAAGGACATGCCGGAACGCAGTGCCGTTAGGAGCACGGACAGGTCGGCGCAAACTGGAAAGTCCTTGGTGTGGGAAGGGGAGGCCTGAAATGTGTAGCGCCTGGAAGGGAGATCGTGGGTACCGTGACGGGGGCGGAGGGCGCATGCGTATATCCTGATACTGGGATCCCGGCTCCGGCCGAGTCCGGGACTCCGGCCTCTGCAGACATCGCAGGTTGGAGCCTCCCCGGCCGCTGGAGAGCGGAGTCTGTCTGAAATGGCCTCTTCTGCCATTCAGCCTTCCACATGACCAAAGACATGTTGCCGGGGCCCTATCCCAAGACCCCCGAAGAACGCGCCGCCGCCGCCAAGAAGTATAACATGCGTGTGGAAGACTACCAGCCTTACCCGGATGATGGCATGGGGTGAGTAGAGAGGGTCCGCTTGCCCCCGAATAGTGATGCGAAAGGACCGCTGCATGGGGTGTTGGACCCTGACCCGGTGGGGGTGCTTTCCTTGATGGACGGAGGCCGGGAGTGAGTGAGCAGCTGCAGCCCAGAGGATTTCAATTTTCTCCTTGGCTCTAGCTGTTTCCTCCAAAGAGAAAGCCGGGATTTTAATGACTCCCTCGAGGACTCCCGAGTAGCAGGAACCTTTCCTTGGCTTCATCCAGAGCGCCGAGTTTCATTTAGATTGAGCAGCTGCTGGGCTCAGGTGCTGTTATCCAGGCACACGACGAGGCTGGGGCTGGATTCCTGTCATGAGAACCGTATTTATAGATGGAGTTCTTTATTTCTCTGTGTGTGTGTGTGTGTGTACACATATATGTATATATGTGTGTATACTTATGTGCAGATGTGTGTATATATGTATGTATATATATACATATACTTCTGATAGAGCTGTGGAAATCGCCGCAAGTGTTAAGCAGATTAAATTACCAGCCCCCTTCATTTCCTCAATCTTGGATTCAGTACCCCCTATTCTTTTTTCTTTTTTTTTTTTTTTGGATCCGGTCCTGGGCCCTGAACTCTGGGTCTGGGCACTGTCCCTCAGCTCTTCAGCTCAAGGCTAGTGTTCTACCACTTGAGCCACAACGCCACTTCCGGCTTTTTTTTTTTCTGCTTATGTGGTGCTGAGGAATCGAACCCAGGGCCTCATGCATGCAAGGCAGGCGAGTACCCCCTATTCTGACTTTCCAGTCATTTTCTGGAAATGCTACCGTTGGTTTTCAATTGTATGTTGGACTGGTAGCAGTCTGTATAAGGTGAATCTGATCCAGCTAAGAAAGAGGTTCCATGACCTACTTGAGACATGGAGATGTGTGCCAGCTTAGAAATACAGTTGCTATGAAAATAATGCTTTTCTAATGTGTACACTTTTTCTTAATCCCAAGTGGTTTTGGAGCCAGACCCAAACTTTATTTTCATTTAGTACCTGATGAGGGCATCTGAACAATTGGTTTTTAAATTTTCTTTTAGCTCTAATATAGAATTATACAACTCTTTGAAAGAAAGGAAAGCATGGCTTTTGATTTTCAATTAGGACTTTTTTGGTTTGCTCTGTGTTTAATGGTGAGAACTTGAGATCTTGTTTGAAGAGTCAGTTCTTTTGTCCTTTGGCAAAGTACTTATATTTATCACTTGGTTTCTCATATCTGAGATGAGGACTCTGAATTGTCTGAGACTGATCGTGGACCTTTCCAGAAGTTCTTACTGTTTCTCAGGTATGGTGACTATCCGAAGCTCCCTGACCGCTCACAGCATGAGAGGGATCCGTGGTATCACTGGGACCACACGGACCTGAGGACGAACTGGGGTGAACCGGTGAGAAAACCATAACCCATTTTACCTTCTTTCCAGCCTTCTTGTGTTTTCCTGTGGATTCTCTCATTAGTTCCAATGATACTTCTCTATCCAGTTAACACTAAGCTTTCCTGCTCACAGAAGCAAGTTCAGTAATTTGAGACCTGAGGTTTCATCTATGGCCCATATAATGGGACTTCGAAGAAAAGTCCAAGCTTAGTACTGTGAAAGCATATTTCATGATTGAGCTTTCTCTGGTGAGGCTGAGACAGGACAGCATCCAGTCCCGTGGGCCCATGTGTCTTAGAACTCAGAATATGGCCCACAGGCAGTGGAATGCTTCTGTCAAGCCTTGTATTAGTGTGTAGTCTTAGAACTGCCTGCTTTTTGCAGGAAGACCACTTTGTGACAATTATCTGCCTTTTTGCCTCAGTTACATTGGGACATAGACATGTATATCAGGAACCGAGTGGACACATCTCCCACACCTGTTTCTTGGGATCTCATGTGTAAGCAGCTCTTTGGCTTCGTGGCTTTCATGGTTTTCATGTTCTGGGTTGGAGATGTTTTTCCCAGCTACCAGCCTGTGGTGAGTATCTGAGAAGTACTCCCCTCATTACATAAGTTTAGCCTCGTCTTAAGGAAGTGAAGTCTGGAGTAGATAACCAGCCAATGCCAAATTTGGCTTCTTATAGTCTTAGAAAGATAGAAAGGCCTTAACTCCTGGACTGGCACAAGTACTAAAACACTGCTTCATTCCTACTTCTTAGATCAGTCTAAATAGAAGTACTCTAGCACTAGATGAAGAGTAAGAATGTGGAAGCTGGCTAGTCTTCAGAGTTGCCATTTGAGGAGTGTACTTTAGCAAGTTTATTTCAATGAGTAGTTTGCAAGACAAGTCAAGGAATGTAGAGCTTAAAAACCTTAGCTTTTGTTGGACATATGAAGGGCACTTTCTATATTATACTAAAGGCAATGAAAAATCTACTCAAACAGTTATAATTTAGAGAATATAAAGGACAAGGAAAATACACTTTTGCTTTAAGAAGGCTTAAGTAAATTTAGGTAAATAACAGAGCAGCATTTGAACAAATACACTGGGTGGTTGACATGGTTTATATGTATAAATGCATGTGGTGAATGTGTGTGCAAACGGAGATGAGCTCCCATCAAGGAGTAGGGTTAAACTGGATGCTAAAAAATGGATTGGGTGGTGGGGAGAAATTGGAGAAAACATGTTCCCCTCCATTAGGAAAAAGAGTAGGGTGAGATAGAAAAAGGGTATAAAGTAGTTCCTAGGTAACCAACTAACAAGCTGGTGAACATTCAGGGTCTAGGCCCTATTTGGAGACCCCAATTTAGCAGCTCTATAGTAGGGTTTTAGAATCATTGTTTTCAACAATCTGATAGTGATTGGCAATTGTGATACAGATCTATACTTGGAAATCAGTGTATTAAAAAAAAAATATTGTGAAGTGAGTTGCTTATTTAAGTCAGACAGCTTTTATTGAATGGCTAAGGGATTTAGACTTGATAGTGTGGTGATGTATTCAAAAGATATGTATACAGCCCCTACCATGGGCCAGGCTCAAGACCCTATGTACCAAGAGTTGAGCTGAGGGGTGACTTGATCTAATTGTAGTAGAGTACAGCCATTTGGGGTTTTAGAATAAAAGAGTGATAGATGGAGGCTGGATTCTTAAGAAGATTAATCTGGGAGTCATCTCTAGGATGGATTGGAAGAAGAAATGAAGGCAGAGAGGCTTCCGTGTTTGCTGTGTTACCTTTGCAGAGATAGGTAACCAGTGTCCTGAAGGAAGCTGGTATATGTCTGTGTGCACTGACACGAGCCTTCTTGTCAAGCCTCAAGGGTTCCTTGCTGGAGAGTGCACACGGAGTTAGGGTGAGCACTAACTTCACTTCAGGAGAGCAAAACACAGTGTGGCTCTTCCATTTTTCAGTTCTGTAAACACATCACCCTTTTCCTCCCCTTGAGCTGTGTCCTCCGACAGCTGTTTGTTGGTAAAGTCAGCAGCCCCTAAAGCACATCCCAGCCGTGTCTCCTCTGTGCTTTTCCCCCACTGCTGCTCCTGCACGCCTCATTTGCTAGGCCACTTTAGTGGTAGAACCATTAGAGGCTGAGTGACTTAAAGGAGATTGAGTCTGTCTTGACCCCGAGAGAGAGTGGGATGGATGGATGCATCGTGCCATTTAGAAAGCTTTGACTGACTCTCTGTCTCATTCTTTCCTGTCTTCCCTCCTTTCCTCCCTCCCCACATTTCCCTTTCCTCTTCTCTTCCTTTTCCTCACTCACATGGTAGGCAGCACTTCTCTTACAATCTAGGCTCTTTCTGTGCTGTGGGCTGAGCAAGGAAGAGAGTGCTACTCTTTCAATTTTAGCGCAGCTGTGTCTGACTAGAAGCTATTATGTACCCATTAACTCAGAGTGGAGCTTAGCCAGGTATTGGCTGGATGTATGCTGTTCTTACTGACCTATCTTTCTTTTTTCTTAGGGGCCAAAGCAATATCCTTATAATAATCTGTACCTGGAACGAGGCGGTGACCCCACCAAAGAACCTGAACCAGTGGTTCACTATGAGATCTGAGGAGGCTTCGCCGGCTTTTGTGCCCTCAAACTAGGGTTCCCTCATTCCTAGAGATTTAACCTTAATAAAATCCCTATTAAAACTCAGTGCTGTGATATCTGTGCCTCATTTCCCCAGGACTAGTCACTGCTGTGAAGAAACCCATTCTCGTCCTTTTAATTTTTCTCCCTGCCTACTGTCTACCATCCTGTTTTCCTGCTCTGAAATTAGAAGGATGGGAGCAGGAATGCTATGTGTAACTTTCTAATTTGTTCATTTCACTGGAACTGTGCAGGTGGTTGAGAGGTCCACTTGCAGAGATAGCATTCTCAACTTCCCACATTGGAACAATTTATTTCCCATAAAATATGATAGTGTACACCTATAGTCCCAGCACTTAGGAAGCTGAAGCAGGAAGATTGTGCATTCAAGGCCCGCTTGAACTACATAATAAGACCCTTTCTCAAAGAAAGAAAACAAAACAGCCAATCACACCAATCAGACCCTTTTAATAATAATGGTTAATTTTTTTTAAGTACTCAACATGTCTCAAGTACTTTATGGCGTTAGGTAAGTGTTCAGAGGACCAGCTGAAGCCTGTACCTATCTGTGGTCTTGTAAGAATATAGATTTGAGCGAGGTGCTGGTGGCTTATGCCTGTAATGCTAGCTACTGGGGAGGCTGAGATGATTTTTATTTTTAATTGTGAAAATACTGTACAGAGGGGTTACAATTACATGGGCAAGATAATGAGTACATTTCTTATCAAGCATTGTAGCTTCCTCCTTTGTTTCCCCTTCCCATCCCTTCCCATCCTCCCCCTCCCGTCCCCCCCACCCAATCTTCCCCGCTACCCCCTCTCCCCCCAAGGCTGAGATGTTGAAGCCAGATTGGGCAGAAAAATCCTCAAGACTTTTCTCCAATTAAGACTGCAAAAAAATCCAGACTGTAGGTGTGGCTCATGAGGTAGAACGCTAGACATGAGTTGAAAAAGCTGAGAGCTTGAGGCCCTGAGTGAAAGCTCTGGTACTGGCAAACACAAAAAAGGTGACAGCAGTAGTTCATGCAGATTGCTGTGGAAGCCAGGAATGGTGGCCATTTGGTTGTAAGTCCAGCTTGGGATATATGGAGTCTGCCTTAGGAGAAAAAAAAAACTACCATAGAATAACCTACAAGGTAGCCCTGTTTAGTACTCCATAGACTAGGATAAGGCATATTAAATAGAAGTGATTGATACAAAGATGACTAATGAGGAATTATGGAAGTATGAAATCCAAGGAAATACAGATGGACAAATCAGTTCTAAGGAGGATAAGAATTGGCAGAAGGAAGCTGGGCGCCAGTGGCTCTTGCCTGTAATCCTAGCTACTCATGAGGCTGAGATCTGAGGATCACAGTTCAAAACCAACTTGGGCAGGAAAGTCCATGAGACTTACCTCCAATAAAGTACTTGGAAAAATCCAGAAATGGTGCTGTGGCGCAAGTGGTAGAGCACAGAAAGGCTCAAGGACAGAGCCTAGGCTCTGTTGGAGGGAAAATAATTTCTGAACCTTTTAAGACTGGAGGATTATTCAAGATGATCTGAAAACATCATAAAATGAATTTTCCCAGTGACTCTATAATCAATGCATCTGTTTCTAAGTAAACCAGCCTATATTTTGTGTCCTTGCATTAATTTCTTAAATTACTATATTGCCTGATAAGTTAAATATGATAAGTTAAATAAGAAACAAGCCCATTCACATTAAATAGAAATCCTTTAGTGGCTGTCCAGGGAATTAAAAGAGAATGGTAGTTACAAGTAGTTAATTCTGTAGTCCTAGCTACTTGGGGAGGCTAAGATCTGAATCGATTGAAGCCAGCCCAGATAGGAAAGTCTGTGAGACTCATTTCCAATTAGCCAGCAAAAAGCTAGAAGTAGAGGTGTGGCTCAAGCCACCTTTGAACCAAAAAGCAAAAGGACAGTACTCAGGCACTGAGTTCAAGCCCCAGTACTAGCACAGACACATTCACACAAAATGAAGGTTTTGTGATTATGAATTTGATACCTCTATTGAAATGCCACACTTTGAAGGTGCCCATGACTTTTTGTTTTCATTGTCCTCTGAAGCATTTAATAATCACTTCTTTAGCAAACATCTGTATATATATGTGTGTGTGTGTGTGTGTATATATATATATATATGTATATATATATATATATATATATATATCAGACACTGACAGGCCCTGGGGATATAAAATTGAACAAGAAGTAATTGCCTTCAAGTAGTTTCCTAGAAAAGGAACTTAGCGATTAAAAATCAAGGTGAAGAGCCGGGTGCTGGTGCCTCATCCCTGTAATCCTAGCTACTCAAGAGGCTGAGATCTGAGGATCGCAGTTCAAAGCTAGCCCAGGCAAAAACAAAGTCCCTGTGAGACTTCTCTCCAATTAACCATCAAAAGCCAGAAGTGGTGCTGTGGCTCAAAGTTGTAGATCACTAGTCTTGAGCCAAAGAGCTCAGGGACAGTACCCAGGTCCTGAGTTCAAGCACCACAACTGACAAAAAAAAAAAAAAAGTTCAAGAAAGACATTTGAGTGTTGAATGAGAAGAAAGTGGTCCAAGCACAGATAACAGTATAACTTACCTTCTGTCTGGTCTCTAAACTCCCATGTCTAGATGAAAAGAATTCTAATGAGTTTGGCTCCAGTATCAGGTAACTGTATCTCAGCTTTGGAAGTAATCGAAGAAGAATACAGTGGAATCCATTAAGACAAACTTGAGGGCTAGTTCCTTTTTTCACCCTTTTTGTGTGGGTACTGGTGTTTGAATTCAGCATTGAGTTGTTTGTTGATCGGCTTTCTTGCTCAGCTGTAAAATGAATGTGTGTGTGAGTGTGTGTGTACAGGTGCGTGTGCTGGTTTCTGGGGCTTGATCTCAGGGCCTGGGCATTGTTCAATGCTCTACCAATTGAGCCACAGCTCTCTTTAGTTGGTGGGGGTTAGGATGGATGTCAATTGAAGATAATGAGTCTCAAAGACTTTTGTGCTTGGGCTGGCTTGAAACCACAATCCTCACTCAGATCTCAGCCTCCTGAGTAGTTATGATTGCAAGTGAGAGCCACCAGCACCCAGTTTTAAGATGAACTTTTGAATCATCAGGTCCAAGATCTTAGCATTTTTATTTGAAAAATCTCACAATTCCCCCAACATAAAGTGCATATATGATCTTTTCACATCCCATCTCCTATGATAGCACTTGTTCTTTTAGTCTCTCCATCTGAAAGCCCTAACAATCTTGACTTCCTTACGGTATCCGTCGCAAAAGCCTGTGCAGCTAGCTTTTTTTTTTTTTTTTTTTTTTTTAATTTTTGCCAGTCTTGGGGCTTAAACTTAAGGGTTTGGGCACTATCCCTGAGCCTCTCTGTGCTCAAGGCCGCCACTTCCCACTTTTTTCTGTTTATGTGGTACTGAGGAATAGAACCCAGGGCTTCATGTATGTTAGGCAAGCACTCTATTACTAAGCCACATTCCTAGTCCAGCTAGCTCTTCTTTTTTACAATCACCACAGGGGTTCATAGCCTCTTATCTGGATTATCCTATTAGTCTCTAACTTAAATCCAGCTCTGCCCACTGTCCCAGGGGTTCCATATTGCTAGATGCCAAATGCAATCATTGTCATGCATACATACTCAAGTTCTGAATCATTCCCAGATGTCCTTGAAATTGAATCTAGAGCCCGTGTTCCACAGTCCCCATTGTCACGCCTCCAGTTTGACCCCTTCTTGCTTGACCTGTTCTTGCAGCAGCAAGACAGCGAACCCATCTCATGCCCCTGATCTACTGTAGTTTCGCCCTGCTCAGACCTGCTTCCCTAATTCAACCAAGAGTTGGTGACGCGCGTTATTGCAGGAGTGCAAAGGCACGGCCAGTTATTCCCATTCTTGCTTGCTTTTTCGCCCTTTCAACTAAGTGGATTCCACGGAGAGCCCCCGGAGCTAGCGTCCATCCGGTCTTCTGGAGCTTTAATTAGCTAATGAATTGAGTGAGCATGTTCTCTTTTCATAGGCTTGTCCCGAGAGGCTGGCTCAAATTGAACAGAGCAGAATTTACCAGTGTAGGATCTGACCTGCAGCGGGAGCCCTGCGCGGTCACCGCGCAGGTAGGGAGGCGCGACGGTCAGCGGTGCCCTGCGCTTTCACAGAGATTCGCAGCGCCAGGCAGGCTGGGCTCGGCTCAGCGTGCGGGTGGCGCGTGGCGGCCTGGCCGGAGCCCGACTACTTTTGGCCCTCGGCAGGCGCCGTCCACAGCGCTGGCTGAACCCTAAAGCCCTTCGCTTTGAGAGGACCTGACCCCTGACCCGGCCCTCCTTACAGGTGGGTTTCCCCTCGCTGGCCTGGGGTCCCCGGAGTGCCGGGACCTTGCGGGGAAGCCGAGGCGCCGGCGGCGGGAGCTCTCTCGAGGCCGAGACCCTGCCGGTGCCCCGGGGTCCGCTCCCCTGGGGTTCGGCCATTGCGCCTCTCGGCGGCGCCCACCGCGCAGTGTCAGGTAGGGCTCGGGCGCCCCTCGGTCCCGGCGCCCGGCAGCAAGCGCCCCGCGAGCGTCTTCTTGGGAAGCGCCGTGCCCGCACCTTCCCGGCCTCCTGGTGCCTGGGCTGGCCCCGAACCCGCGCCCCAGTCACCGCGCCCGGGATTCCGGCTCTTCCCTGCGCTGCGGGTCTGGTAGGCCCTTGGTGGAGTGGTCCTAGCTTCCCGCCTCCATCCCACCCACCACCGCCCGGCCTCGCCCGACCCCAGCGCGGCCTTGAACAGAGCGGATTAAAAGCCCGTTTTCCCAGTTCCTGAACGGTCAGCGATTTAAACACTTTCTGGAGTTTAGTCTACTTTACTATAGTGGTTCAAAGTATGGGATCTTGATGTTTACTGGCATTCACAGCTTGGCCTAGCCAGTTGTCTTCTGTATAAGGGAGCTAACAGTTGAGTGGACTTTATCGAGAGAAGTAAATGAGATGTGCACCCTAAACCCACCATTGTTAGCCAGGTCCTACTTCGGATATTAGATCTTGCCCCAGAAATGTGAAAATGATTAAGACCAGCAGGTGGCACCGGTGACAACTATACTACTGCACAGTGTGTAGCTGTTCGGAGGACACCTACCTGATAGAACTTCATTTAGAGAACCCCGCTGCCTCCAAACTGGAAAGTATATGAGATGAAATAATACTACATCCTGTTTTTATAGGTGAGACTCCCCTGACTGGCCCAGTAGGTCCTAAGTTTCCTTTTTTTTAAGGTGTGTGTGTGTGTAGGATTTGAACTCAGAACCTCATGACTGACCACTTTACTACTTGAGCCATGCCAACGGCCTTCACTTAAAAAACAAAAAACAAAAACAAAAAAAAAGTCTTTCTGCTCCTTTGTTAGCCTGTTGAGATGGGGCTTGAATATATATTAGATTGGAAACCACAGAGTTAAAGTGAGTGCCTACTTACTCAGCACATATCTATCAAACACTTACTATTTGTCAGCCTTTAGTCTTTGCACTCGCATAACATGGAGAAACAAATTAGACACGGTGCTGGCTCTTATGGAGTTGGACAATGTAATGCGAATAAGTATACATTTCTAAAAAGAAAAAGATTAGGGCTGTATTTGATTGGGTGGGTCTGAAGAAATTAGCCGCTGAACTGGGAAAGATATAATAAAGAGCTAGTCATGGAAAGAGCAAAGGGAAGAGAATTGAGAATACAGGGAAAAGCACCTGCAAAGGCTCTAGTATAGGAAAAGGTCATGAAATGAATAAAGGTTAAGATGACTGGAGCACACATATTAAAGGGAAAAGTAGTAAAAGATAAAGTGGTAACCAAGGACTAGAATTTCTTTTATTTATTTTTATTTTTATTTTTTGTCAGTTGTGGGGCCTGAACTGTGGGCCTGGGCGCTGTCCCTGAGCTCTTCAGCCCAAGGCTAGTGCTCTACCATTGAGCCATGGCACCACTTCTGGCTTTTTCTGCTTATGTGGTGCTGAGGAATAGAACCCAGAGCCTCATGCATGTGAGGCAAACACTCTACCACTGAGCTACCTTCTCAGCCCCAGGAATAGTATTTTACTGTCAGTGTATAATAGATTATAGAAAGAGTTTATGAATGTTGTTTCCAAATTCTTATTATCTTGTTTTAGAAGTTCACTCCTGCTATGATGTAGAGAAGGATTTGGGGGATTCCATGAGTAGCAAGGAGACAAGTAGTTAAAGACTACTGCAGTAATCCAGGTGAGCAATGATGGTATCTTCCAATAAGATGGGAGCTTTGGGCATAGAAAGTAGACAGACTAACATTTCAGAGGTAAACATAAAAAAGGGAGCCAAAATGATGTATTAGAAACAGTAAAGGAGAAGGAGGGATCAAGGATAATTTTCAGGTTTCTGGGCTGAACACCTAGGTGATTAGAGGTAGTAGATAGAGGTACCATTTCCCTAGATGAAAAACAATTGACATGAAGAACAAAAGAGTGTGGAGAAAGAGACCTTTTGTGTGTGTATGTGTGTGTGTGTGTGTCATGGTTCTTGAACTCTGGGCCTGGGGACTGTTCCTCAGCTCTTCAGCTCAGTGCCACTTCCGGTTTTCTGGTGTTTTATTGGAGATAAGAGTCTCACAGACTTTCCTGCCCGGGCTGGCTTTGAACCTTGATCCTCAGATCTCAGCCTCCTGAGTAGATAAGATTACAGGCGTGAGCCAGTGGAGCCCAGGTCTAAAGAGTTAACCTTAAAAAAATTAGATTCCAGTAATAGGGTAACTGGACTGTCTTTACTTTTACAGTTCATTAAGTCACCCTGTGTTGCCCTGAATTGCCCCATCTCATGTTGGAGAGAAACAAGATCTCGTGTTTCTGGATGTTCCCTGGATCTGGCTCTTATGCTTACTAGTTTCTATTTTCAGTGGGCCAAGGCCATGTTAGTTTCCTGCCACCTACAGGATTCACCATGAAGCTGAAGGAACTTGAGCAGCCAGCTGTCCAAGTGTGGAGCCCAGCCAGCCAGTATCCTGTGTATCTGGCCACAGGTAAGATGATCCTGTGGACTAGAAGCCCTGGAAATATATAGGTTGAGGGGAGACACAGCATCTAGAATTCTTTTGTGAATAAGATCAGAGAAATCTTTAGCTAGGTGAGATGGCTCACAATATAAGCAAGGGAGATAGTAGGTGGTTTAGGGTACCTGGCAGCCATCATGGACTAAGGCTCAAGGCCAGGCACATCTACTCTATGGAGCATTCCCTAACCCATTTGTTCCTTACATCTATAACTATTGCTGCTTATATTCTACTTTTTCTTATGCCTAGGAACATCTGCCCAGCAGCTCGATGCCTCCTTTAACACCCATGGCACATTGGAGATCTTTGAGGTTGATTTCAGGGACCCTTCTCTGCACTTGAAACACAAAGGAGTCCTTTCTTCTTCAAACAGGTACTCTGCACTACAAATGAGTGTGCAGGGAAGATCTTGACCCAGACACTGATGAGGAATCCTGGGAGTAGTGAATACATCTCAGGGATTATAAGGCCACAGTGGGGGGAAAAGGTAGCTTTTCTGAGAAAAAGTTAATCCTGGGTATACTTTGCAAAAGGATTTAAAAACAAATAGCCCACCCTCCACCTTCCTGGTTATCATCTTCAGCAGCAGCAGCAGGCAGAAGGCATGTGATAACCACGCTTCACATAAGCCTAGAACTCCATGTACTTGGGGTTGTTTTTAAACCCTTCCTCCCTTGGCATTTGTGAAGATAACAGAGTTACACAATATCACACTTGTCTGCCAACAAGGAGGAGAGTGAAAGGTGCTCTCCTCATTGCTATTAGGTGCTGATTGGATGCTCACTTCATGGGTGATATTGTGTAACAGCAATGAGGAAAGATCATTCATTCTTCTCCTAATTGGTTGGTAGAAGAGGTTACAATGAAGGAGGTCTTGAAGGCCTGATAAACAAAGTACTATCATTCACTGAGCACATACTTAGTATACTGGGAGCCATCTATACTATACTCATTCTTCAAAATTACTCTGTTGATAAGTATCAGTATTTCCATTTTACCTAGGAAGTACGAGAAACTCAGAAGCTAGAATTTAAGTCTAGACTTATCTGTGTCTAAAGCCTACCTTTTTTCTTTTATCCCACTGGTTTTCTTTTTAGAATTTGGTATAGATAGGTTGACCAGGCTGGCCTTGAACTGATAATCTTCCCACCTCAACCCTCTGAGTAGCATTAGGGTGTAAGCCACCACACCAAGCTTTCTCTGTTCCTTAGAGGTTTGGAAAAGGTAGAGCTTACAGTCAGAAGCAATGGTTTGTAACTTTTTGTACTATCAGAAAAAAATGTATAAATGTATCATGGTCAAATTATGTTCAATATAAATAACAAGCATGTATTACTATACTATTAATAACCTATGTTTTATATACTTTTAGATTTTATATACATGTACATATTTTTTTCTATAGCCCGGTGAATTATTTTGCCCACCTTTCCTTAGAGATTACTGGTCTAGAAGGCAGTCTTCCAACTGATCATTGATGAACCCTTTGTGCATTTCTTGGTCTCTATAAGAGTTTAGTTAAATATTCAGGCAGAAGACCCTCTTCTGTTTTTGTGTTGTTTGCCCTAATAATGAAAGGTCTCTTAATGTTCACCCTGAGCTCCTGCATCTCTTTATGATAGAATCCTTTGCTGTGCAGTGTTCACATCTTTCATATTTCCTGTACCTGTATCTTTGAGAAATGGGCATTAGAGGATCAGTCCGTAATTTTAATGGGATATTCTTAGGCTTTTTGTAAGCATATCAGAAAGGACCTTGAAAGGAATGAGCTAATTCTTTTTTTTTTTTTTTTGGTCTGGTCATGGGGCCTGAACTCTGGGCCTAGGTGCTGTTCCTCAGCTCTTCAGCTCAAGGCTAGCGCTCTGCCACTTGAGCCACTATGCCACTTCCGGCTTTTTTCTTTTTGCTTATGTGGTGCTGAGGAATCGAACCCAGGGCCTCATGCATGCAAGGCAAGCGCTCTACCACTGAGCCACCTTCCCAGCCCCAGGAATGAGCTAATTCTTATACCCTGGAGATAAGAAGAGGGCAGTAGGAAAGGGCTCTTGTTCTCAACAAGATAAGCAACAGTATCAGTCCAGTTAAATGAAGGAGCTATCTTAAAAACTTCAGGGTTACCAAGCAGAATCTGCATCCAACATTTCATTTTGTTTTCAGTCAGTCTTTGTCTCTTAAGAACTTTTCAAGGGTGACAATTAGTCTTACAGCCAACAATATTGAAGGGACTTTGGACTTTGAAATACAAGTACTGAATTTCACCTCATCTGCCTGCCTGTTTTGCCGGCACTTGGAACTAGTGGTCAAAATAAACAATATAGTGAACATGTGATGTGCAGGATCAAACCTAGTATTTTGTTCTTGTTGGATAAGTGCTCTGTTGCTCTGCTAGCCTGAAAGTCCTGGTCCCCCTGACTCAGCCTCTCACATGCTGAGATTATCTATATCTATATCTATATCTATATCTATATCTATATATCACCAGGCCTGATTTGGAAGGGATGAATTTTTTAGCAAGACCCCTTTTAGACTTTTTAGCAGGACCTCCATCTCAATAAACAGCTTAGTCATGGTATCTCCACCTGTCATTTGTGGTACTGAGTTTCCAGTAAGTCACTAATTGAGACTGGAACAGAAAGAAGTAGGTGTCTTATATACTGAGCTATCCAAGATGATTTCTTCAGAAAGATCCCAACATGACTAGTAATCCCCGGGATCTGAAGAATGAGAATGGCCCCTCTCTCCTCCGGCTGGTCCCCCTGGCCCCATCCCAGCCTGTTTTACTTTCCTGTCATTCTCCCCGTGTATATTGCAGATATTTCTAATCATAAGGTGCTAAATCCTAGTCTCAGATGAATGTCACTGGCTTACCATCCTGATTTTACATTTATCAGATTATTCTGTTCATTTTGTTCTTTTTTTTTGGGGGGGGGGGGGTCCGGTCGTGGGGCCTGAACTCTGGGCCTGGGTGCTGTCCCTCTGCTCTTCAGCTCAAGGCTAGCGCTCTACCACTTGAGCCACAGCGCCACTTCCAGCTTTTTTCTTTTTTTTTGCTTATGTGGTGCTGAGGAATCGAACCCAGGGCCTCAGGCATGCAAGGCAAGCGCTCTACCACTGAGCTACCTTCCCAGCCTTGTTCTATTTTTTTGAAATTCATTGTCTTCCCTTCTTTCTCTAAGCCAGTATACAGTTTGATATACATAGTGCAGTGCTTCCAGCCCTGGATACTTGTAATCACTTGGGAGTTTCTATTACAAATGTGATGATATACTTCCGGACATTCTGCTCTATGAGGTCTGGTGGGAATCAATGAACCTGTATGTCCCTTAGATACTACCCATCATTCTGAAATGCTATGTAATTTCTAGTATAGCAGTCATTATTGTTATCATTGCCATTAGTGTGTTAGCAGAGAATTATTCTCATGTTTTGTTTTGTTTTTGTTTGTTTGTCATGGGGCCTGAACTCTGGACCTGGGCGCTGTCCCTCAGCTCTTCAGCTCAAGGCTAGCGCTCTGCCACTAGAGCCACAGAGCCACTTCCAGCTTTTTCTGCTTATGGGTGCTGAGGAATCGAACCCAGGGCCTCATGCATGCAAGGCAAGCACTCTACCAATGAGCCATCTTCCCAGCTCTATTCTCATGTTTTTTAAAAATTCACCCCTTCCAAGTTGGGATGGTAGTATATACCTATAATCTCAGCATGTGAGAAGCTGAGTCAGGGGAATCATAACTTTCAGGCTAGCCTGCGATAATGAGATTCTGTCTCATCAACAAAAAGAGGTCCCTCCTCCCTGTGCCTCTCATTTCCTATTTTCAAGATATTCTATCATTTTTGTTTGTTAACTATATTAAAAAAAATCAAACTTATAGGAAAATTATAGAAGAGTATAATAAACAATTGTGACCTTTACTTAGCTATATCAATTTATCACCATTTTGTCATATTTTCTCCCTGCTACTCCTCTCCCCCCATGACTAACTCATTTCCTGTCCACTGGAGGGCAGAGATGATTGACACTCCTTGAGCCCACTGAGTGATAGTCTCCTTCCTTGCTTAACTTGACTAACATGTCCTCCTGCAAGGCAGGTAACAGCACAAATAAATTTTTTGTGCATATAAAAAGAAACCTATTTTGTCACACTCTAGGTTATGCAGTTTGCTCCTTGAAGTAACACCTCTCTAACCCTTTGGAGACTTTTAAGGGCTTAGGTTGTTTTACTTTGATCTGGATATTATGTGCTCTGACCATACTGAAATATCTGCAAGCCTGTGTGAGTATTTGCACTAGCCATACACTGTATCTCCTGTATGATCTGTTAATTGGCATCTCTGGCTGCTTTAGTCCCTGGGTGACATGCCAGCCACTTGAGCCAATATACCTTCTTCTTTTACATGAAGATCAGTGCTCCTGCCTACCTAAACCTCTGCTTGAAGGTAGCACCAGAGCTACTGTTGTGTCCATTCTGCTGTTCTGCTTTAGATGCTGGCCTAGCCTGACTAGTGCTTGGTTTGCAACTTGCCAGGTTGGCTCTGTATGAATGCTTGGCAAACAAGTTTCTGTCCTATCATACCACTCCATTCTTTGCCCACTATTCCCAGAGTGTGGAAATATTTCATTGCATCTAGAGGTTTTGTGACATCACTTTGTGTGGAAATCTGGCTTATCTGAAGAACTGTGAAAATGTTGATGGCTAGCCACTGTAGAGTAGGAGGTAGATGCCCTGGCAGGCTTCCCAAGGGGCTTTTCAGGGGGCCCATACTTGTTGACAGAGGATCCAGGGCACATCCATTTCTTTTGACTGGCACTGTCTTTTTGGACGTATCCCCAGAAAGCCAGAAAGTATTTCCAGTTCCTTGGTGCTAATGCACCTAGCATTTCATGCTTCCATGTTTGTATGGCTGGCCCATTGCTCACGACAGCTGGAGTGAGCCAGACACATGGAAAAGTCAAAGCATAGGGAAGGCCTCAAGTTATTTTTCCTCACTTCCAATTTGAAGGAGGAAAGGACAGCAATTGGCCTTTCTCATGGAGGCTGCTTTGAATCAGGCACAAGAGAGTCTTGGTCTTCTCACAATGAGAGGAAGTATTTTTTGGTGTTGTGACTCAAGCTTTAGAATAATATGAATCTAGACTCTGCTATTTTTTTTTTTTTTTTTTTTTGGTCGGTCGTGGGGCTTGAACTCTGGGCCTGGGCGCTGTCCCTCAGCTCTTCAGCTCAAGGCGAGCGCTCTACCACTTGAGCTACAGTGCCACTTCCGGTTTTCTGGTGGTTTTATTGGAGATAAGAGTCTCACGGTCTCTCCTGCCCGGGCTGGCTTTGAACCGCGATCCTCAGATCTCAGCCTCCTGAGTAGCTAGGATTACAGGCGTGAGCCACCAGCGCCCGGCTTAGACTCTGCTATTTTCTAGCTATAAAATGAGATTGAACTTCTAGTTGTGTGAACAGCAGTTTAACAATTTCTTTAAACCTGTTTCTTTAGTTGAAAATGGGGATAATAATAATACCTACGGAGTGCTGAACTGGAAGCCAGCTAGTACCTAATAGAGTGCTCATAGGATTCAATTTCTTTCAGGACCTCACATTTGCTAGGCAGGTACTTAAACCACCCTGCCAACTCCCTTTTTGGGTTGGTTACTTTCAAGGTAGGGTCTTGCTTTATTCCTGGGATAGCCTAGCCTGGAATCCTCTTATTTTATGCTTCCCAGTGTCTCTTGGATGACAGGTGCACACTGCTGCACCTAGCCATTGGACAAGATAGAATCTCACTATGTTTTCTGCCCAGATTGGCCTCCAACTACAGTCTCCTGATCTCTCCCTCCTAAGGCTTGAGACACTGCCTGGCTTCAATATCTTCTTAAAACAAACAAATATTCATATAAGTTAGAGGCAGGGGCTTCCTGGCTTTTCGTGTAACACAGATGGAATATTTTTTTTCCCACAGGACAGTCAGAACCAGGCAAAGGAGACATTCCTTTTCTGGGCAATGAAGGTGCTAGGCAGAGCCTGTCTGAGGGTGAGGGTGCCAGCATAGTGGCAGAACCTGACAAAGACTCCCTTTGCATGCAGACATGGACAGAAGTTGGTGCTGATACCAGTTCTTCCTCTTTGTAGGTTTCACAAGCTGATCTGGGGGAGCTTTGGCAATGGGCTTCTGGAAAGCTCTGGGGTTATTGCAGGCGGCGGGGACAATGGCATGCTTACGCTATACAATGTGACCCACATCCTGTCTTCGGGAAAGGAACCTGTGATTGCCCAGAGACAGAAGCACACAGGGGCTGTCAGGGCTCTCGACTTTAACCCTTTCCAGGTACTAATTTCCATTAATCAAATATAGCCAAGCCATGGAGCAGCAGATCTAAATAGAAGCATTTGCTTATACCTCCAGGCTGAAATTCTGAACCCTTTTGAGGTTGTAATGGGAAACTTTAACTATCCCACATGCGGGTCTCCTCCCTTTCCTGCTCTTCTGTTTCTGGGATAGCACACTTCCAAATGCCTTTTATTCACACAGGGCAACCTCCTAGCCTCAGGAGCTAGTGATTCTGAAATCTTCATTTGGGATTTGAATAACCTGAGTGTTCCAATGACCCCAGGATCCAAGTCACAGGTGAGGAGGCTGACCTGGGGTTGCTGTAACCTGTTGGGCAGCTGTCCCAGGTTAAGTCTTGAATTCTGCAACCAGCCAGAGCACAAGAGATTTCAGTCTTTACCACTGGAGGGCAATAAAACCCCACAGATTAACATGCTACCTGCTAGAGAAGAGCTGGGATGGAGGGTGGGGCTGGGAGTTTTGCTGTCTGTGGAGCAGACAGCTGTTCAAAGAGCTTCTGGAAGGAGGATGAAGGGTGTGTGTGTGGAGTGGGTGGAAATTGGGAGCAAAAGACACTGAGAAAGGAGTAGGAGTGACATAACACTATAGGTTGTGTGAGTTGGACACGTCCAGAGCAGTGGAGATGAAGTGAAAGAAGGACCTTTGACATACTATTGTCCTTTAGGTGGGGTGGGTCAGCCTTGTCTCCATCTGTGGCTCTCATATGTACTTGAGATCTGGTGCATCTTATTTCTATGCATCTCTGTCAGTCTGTGACTGGTCCCATTTTTATACTTCCTGGCGTTTCTCTGTCTTATGCTCATAGTATCATGAGGTGAGTATGGATTTCAGCACGGTATGCCCTGAAAGTAGCACTGTTTTCTGTTTCTGCCTCACTCCTCTTTCTGGGGGTCTTGGGTATTCAAGCTTTTTTTTTTCTCCTTCACTTTCCTTCTCTTTTCCCTCTCTCTTTGTCCTAGACAAGAGGGCTATTTTTATTTTATTTTATTATTTTTTTTATTGTGAAAATACCATATAGAGGGGTTACAATTACATGGGCAAGATAATGAGTACATTTCTTTTTTTTTTTTTTTTGTCGGCCGTGGGGCTTGAACTCTGGGCCTGGGCGCTGTCCCTCAGCTCTTCAGCTCAAGGCGAGCGCTCTACCACTTGAGCTACAGCGCCACTTCCGGTTTTCTGGTGGTTTATTGGAGATAGGAGTCTCACGGTCTCTCCTGCCCGGGCTGGCTTTGAACCGCGATCCTCAGATCTCAGCCTCCTAAGTAGCTAGGATTACAGGCGTGAGCCACCAGCGCCCGGCTGAGTACATTTCTTATCAAGCATTGTTGCCTCCTCCTTTGTATCCCCTTCCCATCCCTTCCCATCCCCCATCCCCCACCCCCCACCCCCCAAGAGGGCTATTTTTAGTGCAAGTTGAGTCCCTACACTTGAGTCCAGATGTTTCTCTCTCTGTCTCTCTCTCTTAGACACACACGTACACACGTTCACACATGCACACGCACACACACACACACACACACACACGCACACACACGCACACACACACACACACACACACACACACACACCTACCTCACTTCTACACCAATATGCCAAATGATCTTCTTGTGAAAATTTAACTCCTGGCTCCCTTCCTGGGACTATTGAGCCTCATGGGTTTGCTGTGGGTAGTTGGGAGCAGTGGAAGGGCAAGTGCCACTTGGTCCAGGGAGTGACAAGTTGTTCTTCCTTGCTATCCTAACTCAGCAGCCCTCAGAAGACATCAAGGCACTTGCTTGGAACCGCCAAGTCCAGCACATTCTATCTTCTGCTCACCCCAGCGGCAAGGCAATTGTATGGGATCTCAGGAAGAACGAGCCTATCATTAAAGTCAGTGATCACAGCAGCAAGGTGAGTGGTGGAGGCCAGAGCTCAGGGTGTTGGGCCCTGGCTTCTCTCTGATGACAAGCTGCTGGGGCTTCTGGAAGGAAATGAATGGCTGTGGAATCCAAGGCCAGGAATCCACATTTGAGTATTAGACATGTGAATTCAGTTCCTTAGCAGATTTCCTATTAAGAGTAAAAGCTGCCATATGAAGGTGGCTCATGCCTGTAATCCTAGCTACTCAGGAGGCTGAGATCTGAGGTTTGTGGTTCCAAGTCAGCCCAGACAGAAAAGTCTGTGAGACTCTTATCTCCCAATAAACTACTCAGAAAAAGCCACAAGTGGTACCATGGCTCAAGTTGTAGTGCACTAGCCTTGAACACAAAGAGGCTCAGGGATGGCACCAGGCACTGAGTTCAAGCCCCAGGACTAGTGGGGGCGGGGGTGGGGGAGGAAGCTTAGGGAAGCTAAATAGAGCTGATCTGGAAGCTTACCTATTTATGGCTATCACTTATTCCCTGATAGCTATGGTATTCTCAATATAGAAGAGACACAAAAAGTACCTTCAGAGTGGTTCCATTCCTACTTAATAAACAAAAGTTCATAATCAGAGAATCAGATTACATTATTCAATGTGACCTGTTTTATTCACAGATGAATTGCTCCTGCCTTGCCTGGCACCCAGACATAGCCACCCAATTAGTGCTATGCTCAGAAGATGACCGACTCCCAGTGATTCAGTTGTGGGATTTGCGCTTTGCTTCTTCACCTCTGAAAGTGCTAGAGAACCACAGCAGGTAGCATCTTAAATACAGCCCACATCTTCTGGGAGCTTGCAGGGCACAACTGACCTCGAAGCAACTGACATCTCACTTTAGCTACCAAACATCCTCTCTGGCTTCAAAATCATTGTAGAGTGAGCGCTAGCTCCAGCCCTAACCAAGAGACATTCCTTTAGACCCTAAGGTTATGGAGAAGAGCCTGCCAAGTCCATGTAACTTCTGGGGATGGGAGTTGGGGGTGGGGTAATGAAAAACATTTGAACCAATTTCTAGTCTCTGTATTAGCTTTCCATCACTATTATAACTAGTGACATGATCAATTTCTAAAAATAAAAAGGTTAGCTGGGCACAGTTGACTCATGTCTGTAATCCTAGCTACTCAGGAAGCTGAGATCTAAGGATTGCAGTTTGAAGCCATCCCAGACAGGAAAGTCTGTGAGACTCTTATTTCATTTAACCACCTGAAAACTGGACGTGGAACTGTAGCTCACAGTTGTAGAGTGCTAGCCTGAGCAGAAAAGCTCAGGGACAGCACCCAGGCCCTGAGTTCAAACCCCAGGACTGGCAATATATATATAAATAAAATTAAAGTGGTTTATTTTAGTTCACAGTTTTGGAGATGTCAGTTCATGATTCATTAGCCCCATTGCTTTTGAACCTGTATTAAGGCAGCAAATCATGGCACAATACAGGGCAGAGGAAAATGGTTAACCTCCTGGCCAGGGAGCAAAAGAAAGGAGGAAGTGTGCTCTGAGTGACCAATAACTAGGTCCTACTGCTTAAAGATTTTGCTGCATTCTAGTAAACACCTCTCTGGGGACCAAACCTTTAACATGTGATCCCTTGAGTCAAAGTATACCAGTACTGCTAGGAGTTTCCCTAGCATCTGATCTGAGGATAATATTCATTTCCCTTTGTGATAAAGTAGCTTCCTCCAAGACTTCCCATTAATTAAAGCAGCTTGGTTACTACCTCTTCATGAACAGATCTGCCCCGGAAGCTGTAGTCCTTGGACCCTCAGCAGAGGAAGTGGTTCCACCACCTGCCCTTTCTAGCTGAAAGGCCTTCATACCTTCTTAGGGACTTTGAAGGTTAGGTCCTCAGTGTTTATTCTTCTGTTCTGAAAGCACCAGGAGGATAGGTGTCTGTGTGATTCATACTTGTACACACTTCTACTCTGTGTGATTCATACTTTTACGTACTTCTACTCTGATTGGTGAAAAGCAGGCCATTAAGCAGTGATCTCTGGAGGGCAAGAAGAGCAGCACACGATTCTCAGCCTCTGGGGTTTGGCTTGTATTGTGGCTATGCAGTTATCTGAAAGGGGTTTTCATTTTTTCAAAGCCTCCTTTTTCTCACTTGTGAAATGAAATATGACCACTCATTTTATAGGGCTGAGATTTAGCTAAGAGGCCAGCTTCCTCATAATAGGTGTTTCTCTTTTAGAGGGATCTTATCAATGTCATGGAACCAAGCTGACTCCGAGCTGCTGCTTAGTAGTGCCAAGGACAGCCAGATCTTCTGCTGGAACCTGGGGAGCAGTGAGGTAGGTGGCCCTTTTGTGGGTATGATGAGATGGTGGTGGGGTCCCAGCTGCATGTTTCAGGTGGCCTCGCCTAATTCAGGGTTCCAGAGCTGTATGATCCCTCACAGTTATGTTCTACATGATAGGTGGTATATACACTACCCACAGACAGCAGCTGGTGCTTCGATGTGCAGTGGTGTCCTCGGAACCCTCCAGCATTCTCTGCTGCCTCCTTCGATGGCTGGATCAGTTTGTATTCTGTGATGGGGAGGAGCTGGGAAGTCCAGCACGTGGGACAGGCTGACAAGGTTTGAGGGGCCTGGTGGGGAGTGCTGGAGGGAAGGGACTATGTATGGGGGTAAGAGAAGAACATGTGACCTGGGAAGAAGTGGGGGCTGTTGAAGAGAGACTAAACACGGAGAATTGGAGGGCTGTACCCAGTGCTCCTGTGTCCATCTTTCTGATGTCAGTTTCTGCCACAAATAAAAGGAGACCTTCACCTCCTGTTACTGGATGTTCTATGTAGTATTTCAGGGACTTTAGACCTCCATGCTGGGATCATTCTCTCAGCAATATAGACTGTCCCCCCTCAGTTGTAGATTCATTTTGTATCACACTTAGGCTGCCAATGTAGTAGGCTTCCCAAGAGCTTCCTGCATGGACATCCCCCTCTCACCCTCGGTCCCATCCTCATCTCCTGAAAAGTGGCAGTCTTGCATTTATAGATTAAACTGGATCCCTCTTAAAATGGTATTTGTAGGTGGAGTTCTTGACTAATCAGGTTTGTGATGCAGGTGTTGTTTCTGCCCAGATCTCCTCTTCTTTCGGCAAAGGACAGCCCCTTCCACCACTGCAGGTGCCAGAGCAAGTGGCTCAGGCATCATTGACACCTCCCCTAAAAAAGCCTCCCAAATGGATCAGAAGGCCAGCAGGTGTTTCATTTGCTGTAAGTGCCAGGGGTTTATGGTGTTGTTGGATATGGGAGCCTCTCATGTGCTTGGTAAGGAGCAGGGTTCAGGATTATTCTCACCACCTCTGTCTCAGGTGAAGTCTCATTGCATCTCCCAAGCTATCAGTGATTCCAGACTTTCTTTTGATGCTGTCACTCTTTACCCTGCTTGCTATGCTGGAGCTGTCTAAAAGAAATTGCTTTAGAACTCCTGTTTGTAGCATCCTGAGATTTTACCTGAGATGTCTCTAATCCTCACATATCTGGAGAGTTACGAGGAATACAAAGAAAGAAGAAGTCAATATTATTCTGTCATTCCTCTGTTCAAAGACTTTTGAGCCTGAAAACCCATTGGTTTTGTGGGTAAAGGCATAGAAACAGGAGTATACTGGATATTTAAGACTATGATATAATCACTTAAATGAGCGAAGAGGAAGAGCATCTGGGGAAATAGGCTTGGCTCTGATTTTGTGGGGGTTAGTGCAATTCAGGCAGAGGCGTGTAAGCACCTTGCGGTGACCTGTGAAAGCTCCTAAGTAGGAACAGGTTTGGTGAAACAATAGGTGGAATAGAAGGGGATAGAGGAGGGAAACTAATGAAGGCTAGCCAACTGTTCTAGTAATCGAGTTGTGCTAGCACAAAATGGGCTGGAGGGGCTCAATATGAGAGACTTTGAGCTAGAAGAGGGAAGACATAACTATACTGGGTATAGCTTATGATAATATACCTTGTTTAGACGAGGTGCTGGAAGACTGGTGGTACCAGAACAGGAAAGGAGAAAATGAGTCCTATGTAGTAACATTTTAAGTTAAGTTAGTGACACTAAGAATGCAGGACTGGTTTGAATATGGAACACATTTAGTACTTAATTTAGTATCCTATTCCACCTCCAGGAATTCTCTTTTTACTGAGTTCCTATCCTCGTCTTGACCGATTTATAGCCTTCCCTGTGATCTTGACTTGGTATTAGCTTTTGGCTTGAAGATAACTTTTATTCTTCTTACCTTTTCTCACCAGTTTGGGGGGAAGCTGGTTACCTTTGGTCTTCCCAGCACCCCTGTCCAGCAGGTGACACAGCCTTGCTCCCGCCTTGTCTTCCTGAGTCAAGTCACCACAGAATCTGAATTCCTGATGAAGTCAGCTGAGCTGCAGGAGGCCTTGGGATCCGGAAATCTCTTGAATTATTGTAAGAACAAGAGTCAGCAAGCTTCACTGCCAAGTGAAAAGATGCTCTGGGAGTTCCTGAAGGTAGGAGGCTGTTCAGAGATGTTTCCTGAAAGCTCAGAACTCTAATGCCTATCAGTTTCAGGAGGTACACAGCCACACTGTGACCCATATTATAAAAGGCCTAACTAAGCCATATTGGTTTTTTCCTGTGTCTTTTGACACAGAATCTTCACATTCTACCAGAAGGTTGGAGGCCACTTGTGAAGATGGGGAGTACAAGAAGTTCTTTTGCATTAATCCCTACTGCTGATATCAGAGCCAAAGTAAAGGATTTCATAGTATCATGCCAGAGGATAGATAGGTGATAGGAAGAAAAAAGAAGGAGAGAGAAAGAAGGGAAGGAAGATTAGTTGGAAGGGCACATGATTATAAAAAAACGTTTTGAGTTTGTTTCAGGTAACCCAAGGTAAATCTTTGTTGTCCCAGGGTTCAGGTGCCATTATATTCTGGAGGCAGAGATTCCATTCCAGTTCTAACATAGTGTCAAGTTGGAGTGCTACACCTGCTAAAGAAAGTGAGCAAATGAGAGGTCTAACAGAAGAAAGGAAAGAAACTGACTGGTCAGGTGGTGGAAAGACTGTGTAACTTTGGGAATTATAAAGAAAAATGCAAAAGAAAGCCATGTGCTTCAAATATAGTATAGATTTATGAAGGTACACATTAGGAACTGGGAGACAAAAGAATTTGAAATGATCTGGGAAGATCTTTTAAGAAATGATATTTTTTATATAAATAGGATATAAGCTGAGGAGTGGGAAAGAAAATAGAAGGATTGATCAGGAAGTCAGCCTTTGGTGACGGTATTCTCTCTCCCTCCTTCCCTCCCTTCCTCCTTCCCTCCCTTCCTCCCTTCCTCCCTTCCTCCCTGTCTTCCTCCCTCCCTCTCTTCCTTCCTTCCTTCCTTCCTTCCTTCCTTCCTTCCTTCCTTCCTTCCTTCCTTCCTTCCTTCCTTCGTTCCTTCTTATATTTTGTGCCAGTAGTACTGGAGCTTGAACGCCAGGCCTTTGCATAAACTTGATGGTATATCACTTTGATCAGTACCTCCACTTTCAGCTTTTTAGTGAAAAGCTAATTAATTGGAGATAAGAATGTCTCATATTTGCCAGGCGCCGCTGGCTCACGCCTGTAATCCTAGCTACTCAGGAGGCTGAGATCTGAGGATCGCGGTTCAAAGCCAGCCCGGGCAGAAGAGACCGTGAAACTCCTATCTCCAATAAACCACCAGAAAATCGGAAGTGGCGCTGTAGCTCAAGTGGTAGAGCGCTCGCCTTGAGCTGAAGAGCTGAGGGACAGCACCCAGGCCCAGAGTTCAAGCCCTACGACTGGCAAAAAAAAAAAGAATGTCTTATATTTTCCTGCTTCAGCTGGCTTCAAACTAAGATACTCTGATCTTAGCCTCCTGAGTAGCTAGGAATATAGGCATGAGCCACTGGCAACTGGCCCCATGATGGTTTCTTGCTTGTTTGCTCTGTGTCTGTCTCTGTCTCTCTCTCTCTCTGCATCACTGTCCCTTAGAGTTTTTTGTTCAAGGCTGGTATTCTATCACTTGAGCTACAGCTCCATTTCCAGCTTTTTGCTGTTGATTGGAGATAAGTGTTTTTGTAGACTTTCCTGCCCAGGCTGGCTTTGAACTATGATCCTCAGATCTCAGCCTCCTGAATAACTAGGATTATTGGCATGAACCACCTGTACCCTCTGTGAAGGTTTCTAAAGCTGAATATGGTGGAACATTTCCCAAGGAAGAGCATAGTAAGAGGAGCCAGCCCAAAGACACTATGAGAAAAACTGTGGTCAGAGTTCATGTTTCACGTGGAATAATGAATGGCCGCGGCCAGCTGACCCATATGAAAGGAACTTCAGGAAGTCTTGGGACACTGAATAGGAAGCTGACTTTGTTTACTGTCTCCAGGAAACCTCTGCTAGGAATCTTCTCAACTACACTAGACTTGACTATTTAGACTCACAAAACTACATAGGTCATTCTTGTCATCAGTGTCCTCAGATGGATAGGGGACAGGGACCACAGCTTGTCCTCAAGGTAGCATCAGCAAGACTCCTATGGAAGTCCTTTCAGCATACCTTGCAGCAATTCATTGCCCTTCCTCAGCTCTTCAAAGGCATCTCAGATGCAAGGACATGAGATGGGCAAGCTGCCCTGGCTAGAAGCCTCTTGATCACAGGAACCAACAATCCCAAAGCATCATTCGCTTTTCGTGTCCCTGCAAGGGAACTGTTCAATAACAAAAGTCACTACAACCAGAGAAGCCCTGAACATGGCACCCACACCAGTTATTTGTAATTTACATAGCTCCAGGACAAATGCAATTTGCCAATCACAAGCAAGCCATTCAGTAGGCTGAGATCTGAGAATCTCAGTTTGAAGACAGGCTAGCAAGAAAGTCCAAGAGACTCTTATCTCCAATTAACCAACAAAAATTACCTTGCCCATGTAATTGTAACCCCTCTGTACAGTATTTTCACACACACACAAAAAAAAGCTGAAAGTGTGAAAGTGGAGGTGTGGCTCAAATAATAGAACACCACTGGTGAATGAAAAAGCCTCAAGGCCTAGAGTTCAAGCGTCAGTGCTAGTGTATACACACACACACACACACACACACACACACACACACACACACACACACACACACACACACACACACACAAGCAACATTGCCTCAAAACAGTTGACATTTTACTCTTATCATCTTACCAGGGTAACAGAGGTAGGAGGTCAATTGAAGGTCAGACTCTTACAGAAAGTGGTAAAGGGTTATGCTAAGACTACCCATAGGCCAGAGGGGGAAAAAAAAGAGAGAAAGGTAGCATTATCCTGCCCTCAGCAGGATAATGCTAGTACACAGAACTGTATTGAACAGTATACTGGCACAGATATCCACCACAGTGTAAAGATGAGGGTCATTCACATTCATTTAATGGAGACTCTTGTATATTCTCTGATTCTTTAGGTGACCTTACAGCGTGACTCCAAAGTGAAATTCCTAAAGCTGTTAGGATACGATAAAGATGAGCTTCAGAAGAAGGTATGTGCTTTTCACATCTGAAAGATAGCTATATTATGGAAAATAAGAGAATTCTGCTTGAAGAAATCTTAGAACACTTCTTCCTGGACTTAATTCATAAATGAGTATTTTTACCTTCTGGAGTTAGGCTTGTTCCCAATAAAAGGGATGAGGGATCTTAGAGTCCAGATGTTGGGGCATGGAAGTGGGAAGAAAGCCTAAGGCTTGTTTGACTTTACTGTGGGAAGAGAGGTACTCATTAGACTTTCTGCAGGTGGGCACGTGGCTGAAGAATAATGTAGGGTCAGGAGAGAGCCTTCAGCCTGAAGGAGATTACCTCAACAGTACCAGACGACCTGCCTTCGGCAGTCAGGTATGGTAGCCTGGACAACTGGACCTAGGGTAGCATAGGAGCCTGCCTTTAGAGCATCTTCTCCTTGCTAGCTCTTTGCTTTGCTCTTAGTAAATGATTAACTTCTGCAGAAATCTTCAAATTACTCACTATTTGGAACCAAAGTAAGACACAGAGCCTATCAGCTTTTGGGCTAAGAGTGAACATAACTGTCCCTGAACCATAACTAGGACTTTCCTTAAACCTTACTGGGTATTCTTTTAGTATTACCCACTAAGGACCAAACAGTAGATTCTCAGAGAGGGCGACTAAGCATGCTCTCTTTATTTGGTATTCATTTCATACATCGTCACATTTGTCCTTCCTTCTATAGGCCTCCAAACATACCACAGATGAAGTTTCTGCTTCTTCAGCCTTTTTTGATGAGCTAGTCCCTCAGAGCATGACTCCATGGGAGATCCCCATCACAGAAGGTACCTGGGACCTGAGGGAGAGAAACTGCTTGGGAGCAGATAGGCCTAGACTTGTGGCCCAGTCTCTTTTTGTCTCTCTTTCTTCTTCTTCTTCTTTTTTTTTTTGTCGGTTATGGGCCTTGAATTCTGGGCCTGAGTGCTGTCGCTCTTCAGCTGAAGGCTAGGGCTTTACCACAAGCTACAGCCCCACTTCTGATTTTCTGGTGGTTTATTGGAGATACGAGTTTCACGGACTTTCCTGCCCAGCAGCCTCCTGAGTAGTTAGGATTACAGGCATGAGCCACCGGCACCCGGCTCCTCCCACCTTCTTAAATAGTGGTGGGTCTCTTACCAGTTAGAGCTCTTTTGGTTGTAGATTTTCATGCATTGGATCTTTTGTTTGTTTTGAAGGATTTATTTTAGTATAACAGGGCTAACATGGAAAAGAAAGAGAAATATTTCTTGCTCCTCATACAAGAAATGGGAGTTAAAGGCTCAGGATGAGTCCTTCCTTGGAAGGTCTTCTACCAAGGTCTGTTTTCCAATCCTTACTAAAGGGACAGTTGCCCTGCCCTGTGGAGCCAGCACATGCCACACCTGTGATATATATACCACATGAGGTCCTCCCTGGTTTTGAGTCCTATCTTTAGAGAGGTACTACTGGACCTTGTTATTCCCGGGGCATCCCAATCCATTTTGCTATTCAGGAAATGAAGCTTCAGAGTTTTGGGAGCAAAGCAAGCCATGTGATATGGAGACAGAGGGAGTGAGCCCTTGATTGGCTCTGCAGGGACAGGAAGTGAGAGCAGGATAACAGGCTAATTTGGAAGCTAGATGATGCCTCTGCCTGCAGACACGGATGGACTCTTAAGCCAGGCTCTGCTGCTTGGGGAACTGGGCCCTGCTGTGGAGCTGTGTCTGAAGGAGGAGCGCTTTGTTGAAGCTATCATACTGGCCCAGGCTGGGGGTACAGATTTGCTGAAGCGGACACAGGAGCGCTACTTCACCAAGAGGAGAACCAAAATCTCTCCGGTAACTGCTAATCAGGCGGGCGAAAAAGGGAGGCAATTACTTGGACCTTGTCAGGTAGAAGCCCACATCTTGGGACTAGTGTCTAATGATCTGTCTGCCTCTATCTTTCTACTCTAACCATCTGCCTCGCTGCTCGCCCTCTTCAAGTGGCCTGCTCCTGGATGGCTTTATTAACACGTCCCTGTGTGTGACTCCAGCTGCCTGTGCTGCAAGGATGGCTGAGGGCTTCCTTCCTTCTCTGCCCATTACAGCTTCTCGCCTGTGTTGTGCAGAAGAATTGGAAGGATTTGGTATGTGCCTGTAGTCTGAAGAACTGGAGAGAGGCATTGGCCTTGCTACTGACATACTCAGGGCAAGAGAAATTTCCGGAGCTCTGTGGTAGGTGTGGCTCTAGTGTTTGGGTGTGGCTCCTGCAAGGAGGAAGCTGAGAGGCAGCTTGACCTCTGGGAGGCTGGGCCTGCCGCCTGTACTGATGTCAGGCTCAGCCTGGAGGCAAGGACTATAATTCATGCCCCAGCTTCCAGTAGGGACCGTTAAATTCTGTCTCACTGCCACGGCACTTTTTTTTTTTTGGTGGGTCATGGGGCCTGAACTCTGGGCCTGGGTGCTGTCCCTCAGCTCTTCAGCTCAAGGCTAGTGCCCTACCACTAGAGCCACTAGAGCCACAGCACCACTTCCAGCTTTTTCTTCTTATGGGTGCTGAGGAATTGAACCCAGGGCCTCATGCATGCAAGACAAGCGCTCTACTGAGCCACCTTCCCAGCCCCCACATGTCACTTCTTGATGTAAGAATTTGGGCCTTCACTGTAAGTCAAGTTTAGCCTCATTATTAAATCCACCCATGAAGTTTGCATCTCTCCACAGACATGCTGGGAACTCGCATGGAGCAGGAGGGCAGCAGGGCACTAACCTCTGAGGCCAGACTCTGTTACGTGTGCTCAGGGAGTGTGGAGCGGCTGGTAGAGTGCTGTGTAAACTCCTCCCAGGCCACATCCCCCATGGCTCTGCAGGTACTTCTTTACAGGGTTCTGGCTGCTCTTAGGGGAGGCTAAAGGTGGGAACCAAGGTCCTATCCAAGAACAAAAGCCCCTCAGTGTCTGGTGTCTTCTCCCAAGGGCGAAATACCATCCCTTTCCTCCAAGGAGACTGAGCAGTAGCTGCTTTCACATTATAGTTTGATTAGTTTGAGTGTGGATTTTTTTATTAGTTTCTGTGAAGCATTCGGTGGATTTCAGTTATGCTCTGTGGGTGTACATGAAGGTAGGAGACAAAAGTCTTGCATGGAAGAGTTAGTATGAGTGTGGTTGATGATATTCTAGTAGAAATGGTAAAGAAAGCCAAAAGAGATGGTAGATATATGCACGAATTGAACATACTGGTGGGTCCATTTGAGCCCAACCTTAACCTCTTGGGAACTGAGGCCAAGTGGTCCTTCTGTGTTACCTCTCTAATACAACATGGCCTCCTGCACTCACCTGGGAAGCCGCAAGGTGCCTTCCCTCTCTATTCATAGTGGAATATTTCTTTTCTTTTTTTTAATTTTTTATTGTAAAGATACTATACAGAGGGTTACAGTTACATGAGTAAGGTAATGAGTACACTTGATAGTGGAATATTTCTTGATGAGCCACCTGCACTGAGAGAGCAGGACGTACCTTCAACAGGTTGCCACCCTCGCCATTTTCTCTATAGGACCTGATGGAGAAAGTGATGGTCCTTAGAAGAAGCTTGGAGCTACTGCAGGGTCCTGGCAGGGAGGCCCCAGGCCCTACCACAACATACAGGATCACCCAGTATGCCAACCTCCTTGCAGCTCAGGGCAGCCTATCTACTGCTATGAGCTTCCTACCCAGTGACTGTGCTCAGGTAATTGGGGCCAAGTGAAAAAGCAAATCATTTTATTCCATCATTTAACATAGGCTGAGCACTTCAGTGTTTCAGACACAGTGTTAATGCTGAAGCTCATAGGATAAATAGGATCATGATCCTCAAACAGCTCACAATCTATGGAGAGAGATCAGATGTCAGTAATTTGCAGAGCTGTAACAGAAACTTATACTAAGAACTGTGGTATTTCAGGGAAGACCCTGAGTTTGTTGGAGAAGTCAAGAGAGGCTTTCCAGTGGCCCAGATAAGCTGAGCTGGACCTTCGAGAAGTATTTTATCTGCACATGTAGGACATTCCAAGCAGAAAGAACAGCCAGGAGGGAGGTATGCAGGTGTTGGGCAAGGATTAGGGAACTCTGAGTCTAAGGTGAAGAGGCCAGGCTTTTAAGAGATAGTTTCTTGTTTTAATTTACCTAACATCTCTTCCTACCACTTTTATAGCCATCAGTTCAACAGCTGAGAGATCGGCTTTTTCATGCTCAAGGTTCTGCTGTCTTGGGCCAACAGGCTCCTCCTTTCCCCTTCTCCCGGGTTGTTGTTGGAGTTATCCCCCATGCTAAAGAGACATCTTATAGACTGGGATCCCAGCCTGCTTACCAGGTAAAACTTTGTTAATTTATTTGATTTTTATTCTGCATCTTCCTGATATGGTGAATTATATTGGTTTATTTTAAAATGTATTAGATCAGCCCTGCATGTCCTGGAATAAACCCCTTTTGGTTGTAGATTATTATTACTAGGTGGTGCTGGGGCTTGAACACAGGGTCTCATGCTTGTTCAGTTTGCTTGCTCATCTGGTACTCTGTCACTTGAGCCATGCCTCCAGCCTAGATTTTTGCCAGTTATTTGGGAGATGGAGTTTCATGGACTTTTTGCCCAGATTGGCCTCAAGCCACCATCCTCCAGATATCAGCCTCCTAAAGAGCTAGGATTACAGGTTTGAGCCACTAGCACCCAACTTGGAATATTATTTTATACACATTATTATAATATTATTACATTATTATTATTATACACATTGTTGGGTTTGATTTGTTAAAAATTTGTCAAGGAGTTTTGTATCTATGTTCATGAGAAATATTAGTCTGTGGTTTTATTTTGAGCTATCTTTGTGCAGTATTGGTATTTGGATAATAGTAGTTTCATAAAGTGAATTAGGAAATGCTCATTCTATTTTCTAGAAGAGATTTTTAAATTTTGATAATTCATTGAATTTTGATTTTTCCAATGAAAACGCTTAGGCTATTTAGGCTTGGGATGCCCTTTTGTGTGTATGTGCAGGTTTGAGGCTTAAACTCAGAGTCTGAGTGCTGTCCTTAAACTTATTTTTTTCCCTCAAAGCTAGCTCTCTGCCACTTGAATCTCAATGGACTTTCCTGCCCAGGGGGGTTTGAACTGTGATCCTCAGATCTCAACTTCCTGATTAGCTAGGATTACAGATGTGAGCCACTGGCTCCCAGCTTGGAGTGAGCTTTTTAAATACAAATTCAATTTCTCTAGTGGTTATAGGAATATTGTTTATCTTTCATTTGGAAGTTTGTGGATTTGAGGAATTGCTCCCATTTCTAACTTACTGAATTTAGTAACTGACATTGTTTCTTGGTGTTGTTTTAGTGGTTTCAAAGTCTACTGCAATATCCCCTCTTGCATCTCTAGCATTGATACCTAATGTCTTCTCCCTTTTTATCTTTTTTTTTCCCCCCAGCATTGATCTAACCCCAAACCTCTCACTTACTAGGCATGTGCTGTGTCTCCAATCTACATCCTCAGCCCTCTCTTTTTATCATGACCAGTTTTTACAACAATGAGTCAATTTTATTGTTTCTTTTCAATAAACTAGTTTTTGTTTCATTAATTTTCTATATTGTTATTCTTAGTTCAGTTACTTACTTCAGCTACTTTTTTTCTAAGAGCTGACCCTCTTTCTCTTTACAGATCTCATCTTCCTCTCCAAGGCCAAGGGCCATAACTCAGCCCTCACTAGTGATGCCTTTGCCACCTTCCCATCCTAGCCCTTTTCAGGGCTCCATGACACAAACGATTAGTTACTCCAGGGCTCCTGGGGCACCTGCACTCCAGGCAGCCCAGCCCTTGCCTTTACGCCCTGGGGTAAGGCCGGGTGAGTGATTGAGTGAAGATCTCTCTGTGTAGCATAAAGATCTCCAGAAAGATAGACATACTGCCTCCTAAACCCATCTGTTCATGTCTAGAAAGAAAAGGGTTGTTTTTTTTTGGGGGGGGTGGGTGTCGAGGGTTGGTCGTGGGGCTTGAACTCTGGGCCTGGGTGCTGTCCTTCAGCTCTTCAGCTCAAGGTGAGCACTCTACCACTTGAGCCACAGCACCACTTACAGTTTTCTGGTGGTTTATTAAACGAGATAAGAGTCTCATGGACTTTCCTGCCTGGGCTGACTTTGAACTTGATCCTCAGATCTCAGTCTCCTGAGTAGCTAGGATTATAGGCATGAGCCACCGCACCTGGCTGAGTTTTTTGTTTTTGTTTTTTTTTATTTAAAGAAAATAACTTGGAAGTTTAAGTCTGAATTCCTATCCTTTATTGAATCCCTCATGTTATCTCTTAGCTGGAAGGCTTTGAGCCTTTTTGCAGTATATTAAAATACTTCTGTTGATCATTTTGGTCCTATAGGATTATTTTGAGGGACAAATAGGAATATAGTTTAAAGTACTTTCTAAATTATAACTCTCTATACACATTATTAATTACTCATTACTATTAACAGTTGAGGTTTTTTTTTATTTTTGAGGTAATGTTTTACTATGTTGCCCAGATTTGTCTGGAACACCTGGATTCAAGGAATCCTCCCTTCTTCAGATTCCAAGTAGCTGATATATAGGGGTATGCCAGTACACCTGGCTTTCTTCGGTCATTGCTGACTTATTCCTCCTTGATGAGTTCTGAGTCTCTCTCAAATTCTATGGTGGCAAATAACCCATTTCTTTTCTACTTCAGCTTTATCTCAGCCACAGCTGATAGGACAAAAGGCTCAAGTTCCAAACCCTATGGGATTGCCTGGAATGTGGCCTCTTTCTAGTCTTCCTCCACCCATGGAATCCTCAGAGGTCATGCAGCGTGACTCTACCTTCCTACATGAACCTCCTAGATTACTTCCTCTACCTCGTATGGGACCACCAGGTCCCAGCCCTCTGAGTTCCCAGGCCCCAGCCCTTTCTCCTCATTTCCCAATGACTTATCCTCCTGGAGGGCCAGATGCTCCACCCTCTAGTACCCTCCCAAATGCTGGCATCTGGACTCCTTGTCCAGGTAAGTCTTCCTTCTATGACTTCCCTCTTGTGGTTAGTATCTCACTTCTTCCCTTTCCTGTGGGTTGGAGTGTCAGCTAGGAGTTTGGCTTATGTGCATAGGAAGATATAACTGAACCAGACTTAAGATCAAGCATTTGTGTGTTTATTTAAATTTTATTTTATTTTGATGGTACTAGAGTTTAAACCTTATGTTTTCTGGGCTTCCATGATACTACTGAGCCATGCCACCAGCCCTTAGACCAAGCATTTCTAATGTTCCTGAGCATGCCCCTAAAAATCCCTGTCTTTATTCTATAGGACCTCAAGATTCCCGGCAGGTTGCTCCAGGCCCCAGGGGAAACCTCCAGAGGAGAACGGTGAGTGCATCTTTCTCTACTCACTCCCTTAATTCCCTGGGATTCGCTTTCTACCTACTTACAGAGTCCAGCCCTATCCTTAGCCTTCCCACATTGTCCTTGTTCTTGCAATCAGTCTTTACCCTCAGTGTTGCCCTCTTTCCTGCCTATCCACATTCCCTACTCTTTCCATTTCCCAGCTTCCCACTCACTCTCCTATATCCTTTGTCTATCACTCCCCAAATCAGGTCCTATGGCATCTCTCTGTTTAGACTCACGTCCCTTCTTTCTCTTTAGCTGCCAGAGACATTTATGCCTCTGGCACCTATTACTGCTCCAGTTATGAGCATTGGCCATGAGCCAAAACAGCCTGCTGTCTCCAGTGTAAGTCATGCTCCCCCTGGAGCTCCAGGAGAACGTAACCTACAGGTAACAGGGAAGACATGTTCCTCCCCACTGGGAAACCTTCCATCCTTGCTTGGGTGTAGAAGAGTGGTAGCTTGGCTAATTCCTCAGGTAGCAGCAGAACTGAAGATGTCCTTGCTATAATAGGACCTCTTTGCTCTGTTCTAAAGGGAAGAGTATGACCCAGGGTTACTGAGGGCTAGATCTTAGGGGAACCATGAGGGCAGCTTGCCTGTCTTTCCTTTCTCCCTGCTCCTTTACTAGCAACTTCAACAGCAGCCTTCTAAAGAGATGGAAAGGAAGGAGCTGCCTCCAGAGCATCAGTCCTTGAAGGTCAGCTTTGAGGCACTTCTCCAGCGCTGTTCCCTATCTGCAACTGACTTAGTAAGTTTGAGTTCTCCCCTAATGCCCTTCTCAACACTTGGCTTCAGGTGTAGACCAGTTCCCTCACTGTTCCTAGTTAGGCTGACTGTGTGCTATACTTCTTTGATGTCTTGCAGAGTAGAGGAGGGACTTGGAGTCTGGTCTGAGGTTCAGCTCCTAGTAGGGGGATCAAAGCACATGGAGACTTACAGGCAGCAGGAAGTACTGGAGGGAGGGTAAAACCAGAGATAAGGAAAACTACCAGTTCATTCTCTGGCTGTGTCAGCTTGAGCAAGTCCCTTACCATGTGTAGACCTCCACTTCCTCCTCTGAAATGAAGAAATATGGAGCCATTCTAGCTTTTATATACTGTGGTTCTTTATAGTCCCCAATAGTATTAGACTTAGAAGTGGATCAGAATCCATTTCTCTCCCTGCAGAAGACAAAAAGGAAGTTGGAGGAGGCAGCCCAACGTCTAGAGTATCTCTATGAGAAGCTCTGTGAGGGGACAGTAAGTACCTAGCTGTGCTCTTTTTTTTTTTTTTTTTTTTTTTTTTTTTTTTGGTCATGGGGCTTGAACTCTGGGCTCTGGGCCTGGGCACTGTCCCTGAGCTCTTCAGCTCAAGGCTAGCGTTGTACTGCTTGAGCCACAGCACCACTTCCGGTTTTCTGGTGGTTAATTGGAGATCATGGACTTTCCTGCCCCGGCTGGCTTTGAATTGTGATCCTCAGATCTCAGTCTCCTGAATAGCTAGGATTACAGGCGTGAGCCACTGGGGTCTGGCTGTGCTCTCTTGCCTGTGCCTTCTCATCACCACCTGTGGACAAAGGAAGCCCAGTGTCTCTTCTTTCCATACATCTCCCTGAGCTCCTCTACCCCCAAAATGTACACCTCCTCTGGACCAGGCTATGGCACTTCAGTCCTGTTATCCTTTCCAGGCTGCCAGGCTAGGGGCTCGGCTGGGCTTACTAACCTAAGGGTCAACCCCTCCACAGCTCTCAGCCCCTGTCCTGGCTGGGCTCCATGAAGTTGCCCGATGTGTGGATGCAGGAAATTTTGCACAGGGCCTTGCAGTGCATGCCCATGTGGTGAGCTGCAGTAGCTTCAGCGAGGTGTCCAGCTTCATGCCTGTCCTGAAGGCCGTCCTCACCATCGCGCAGAAGCTGCAGGGCTAAGCCAGGCAGCCTCTCCTCCCAGGATGCCACTGCTGCCATTGCTTCACTCCTCCTTGCAGAAAAGGGGAATTTTGCAACAGATTGTATTTGTTTCTCCAATTCCCTCGTCCCTAGCTGCCAGGTATGTGATGTGGTGGACTCCAAACCAGCTGAGTGCCTGAACTTACCCCTTTTATGCCTTGCAACATTGGGCTCTATGCACCCTGGTAGGCAGGGTGTAGAGCCAGGTCCTACTTCCCTTCATGCAATCCAGTGACCAGACCTGCACTACCATGTCTTCTCCCCAAGAAACAATTCTGTTCTAGAAGCTTCAGGGAGGACGAACAGGGTTATGGTCATGTCTACCTCTTCTGTGACCCACTTTGTGGGTTTCCTGTTTTTCCTTTCTGGGGCTTATACTCCTGGTCTTTATCTTCTCACACCTCTGACTACATATTTCCAGGTCTATATTCATCCATAGCCCCAAGGACTGAGAGTAAGCTGGCTGTTCAGCCTTTGAGCAAGTCATGGAGGGTTGGGTGCTTAGCAGAACCAACAGAGAAAATTGGCCTGTTTGAAGTAGAACTTTTCTGTGTCTGCTTTACTCAGGTTGGGCTAGGCTAGAGAACAGATAGAAGGGGTGCATTGCCTTTTGCTGGGAACTGTCTTGAACTACGAGATAAAAACAGGGGGACCACAGTCTTCACGGAACTGCCCCTGATTCCACCTAGGTTTGAGCCCAGCCCAAGGCCTCAGGCTCTCCATTCTGTGATTTTTTTTTTTTTAATTCCCATCCTGGAATAATTTCTCCTTCTCAGCTATCACCCATCTCAGGGCTGCCTTCTCTGGTTGCATTTCATGGCTCAACTCTGCCTTTGATATATGGATGTACTTAATACTGCAATAAAGCTGCTTTGATTTGTTTTCTTTGTCATCTCCCAATCATTGTCTCCTCGAGGACTTATTTTGTCACTACTTGTCTTCTGAATCATCTGGGTCTTGTTCCCTATACCCTAAGAAGGTAGGGAGAGGTTGGGAAGAGGAGACAAGAAGTCAAGAGAGCTGAAGAAAGGAACCTCTCTCTTCAAGTCCAGCTCCATAGATTTAGGCTGCAAGACTCTCCTTTGCAGCATCTGTGGCCACACTGCTTGGTATGTGAGTGTGTCTGAGTGTGTGTGTGCGTGTGTGTGTGTGTGTGTCCATGTCCTTCCTGCCTGATATTCAGCTACAGGGTTTCCTCCACACCACTTCAGGGCTGAGCTCAGCTGCACAAAGGGCCTGGGTGTGAAGCAGCGGGTACTAGCCTAATCCTGTTGTGGATCCCATCATGTCTGCAGGCTAGATGTGTGTGTTTGGGAGGGAGGGATTGTTAGGCTGTATTTGTTTGTAAAGCCACTTGCTCTTCAGATAATACTTGCACTAACTTCTATTGATGAAGCAGTGTGAGCCCCAGCAAAGTCCTTTCCCAAAGTGTCTTTGAAGCCAAGAGCCCATTGAAGGGAAGAAAGGCCGGGAGAGGGGATTAGTTTGTTCAGCAGCTGTGAATTTCAGTGGGAGGTTGATGAACTCCGAAGTCTTTGTTTAAATTAAAGGGGGGTTGAAAAAAGCCTCTGCTGGAGCGAGAGCCCCACTTGGGGCCCTGAACTAACACAAGGAGAAGTCTGAGCTGCAGGGAGCTGTGTACTGACTGCAGAGACTTTTCCCAAACACTTTCGGAAAAGGTGTTGTGAGAAGAGAAGGGGGCGGAGTGGCGGATTAACATGTGAAATGAAGTTTTCATTGACTCCCGTGGGGGTAGAAGGCTATTTTAATGGCATTTTGTTCCCCTATTTTCTCTTCTTGAGCTCTTTAGAGATATTGTTTTGCTAAGACAGGCTTTCTTCCCCCTTCTTTCCAGTCTGAGGATTGCCTCTATGGGAGCCAACATAAATATTTCTCCTCCAGGAATGTGGGTTAATTAAAAGGAAATGAATGAGTGGAAGCATCCAATCCAGACTCACAATAGGCAAGTGCCCTGGCCTGCCCTCCCCTCCCACCAGCAGCAGCACCACCAGCGCGCCAAGGACGACCCTCTCTCTGTCTCTGCCCTGACCCGCTGCTAAGGCCAGTTGAGGCTGGGATTCTTTTCAAGAAAAGAAAGCCCTGCCTGTGTGTAGGCTCACAGGCCAGGGACAGGAAGGAGACAGTGTTTTGCCTATCCCTCCCAGTGTTCTTGTCACTTCTCAGGACCTCCCTCTGCTTCTGTCCTCAAGCTGAAACAGATGGCTCCTAAGGTGCACACAAGGGGAAGGAAGGGGCCTGGGTTCCAGGATTCATCCCACACTAAATTACGAGCCAGTCATCTTCCTCAGCGTCAGTTTAAATAACACACAAAGAGTTTGACTAGCTGACCTACAAGGTATCTTCCTAGCCAGCAGTTCTGGAGTTGTCCACCTGGGAAGGGGATGCAGCCCTGCTGATATAACCCTGCTGAGATGAGAAGCTGGATGCAGGGGTGTGGTGAGCTGTTTATCACATTCCGGTGTTTACGGAATGAACAAATGAGTGGATCATGTAAGAAAAAAAAACAGCAATACGGATCTAAAGTAGTTCAACAATGTTTTCTATATACAATTGGGATAAATCTGATGTCAATCATATCGATTTGGGAATATAAAACAGTAATGTATGAAAGAACTTTCTGACAACATGACTTGGAGTTACCAAACTTGAATTTGATAAATTCCAATTTTATGCTGAGAGACTGCCTGCAGAATGCAGCTGTCCTTTACGGCACTGTTCTTTGCTGTTTTCTAGCTGTCTTCCAAGTAGACTCTGCCAGTGTGTTAGTGAGTGCTGCTGCTTGATCAGGGAAGAAAAGTAACTTGGGAGAGTCAAGAGGCACAGATAAGGGTGAAGCTCCAAGAGCCTGGGAGAAATGTACGGAGGAACCTACGGAGAAAATGCTACAGAGGAACCTCTCTCCCAGTAGATATTAGTAGGACCAGAAGATGTGTAGGGATAAGGCTGACTTCACCACTGTCTGGTATAGAAAACAGTATAGACTACTTTTCCAGGTTAGCTAGTCCCTAGAGTCCCTAGAGCCTTGGCTTTTGTGACTTCTGCACTCCCTCCTACTCTGGGAGAAGAGAGATAAGGTTATCTAGCGTTTTGACCAGTTCTGTCCAGAACAACTTCTTGGGTGCCCAAACCCAGGATTAGCCTGTGGCAGGAAGCAGGCTGGAAAGCTCCTTGGGCTACAGAGGGACTGCTTTGGTTTGGGTCATCTTTCCCAGAGCCCTATTTCATAAACAAGTCCCCCCTGAACTGCTTCCTTCTGAGAATGGAACCAATAAGTCAAGCATCACAAGCAGCAAGCTCTTAGTTCTGAGCAAAAGGTATTAGTGGAAGGTTTATGTGTATGATTTACTAATCCTTTGCAGATTAGCCTCAGTCAAGTCAGGCTATTTAGGCCATCAATGAAGCAAGGCTCAGGGACAAAGATGGTATCTAGCCAAGGTAGAGGGAGGAGAGAGAGTGGAGATTATATTTTCCACCCCACCCTACCCATAGAATCCCCAGAATAAGCTCAGGGCCTGGGGAAAAGGGCACATATCACAATGGCTACAATAAATTAAAGGTCAAGGTGTTGAGAGTCCTACTGGCAACACTTTTGATTTTAGGAAGTTTACTTATTGAAGGGGAATATCCAAAGGCCCAAATCATCCCTATTTGGAACCAAGTAAGTGAAACAAAAGGGCTCACTTTTTTACCTGTGGCCAGTCTTGGAGGTAAAGAGCAGGGTGTGCGTATTTACCCCAATCTTGGCTCAGAGGAACAAACCTCCTTTGAGGAAAGCTCTTTTAGTTCAAGTTGGTTGGTAAGAGAAGGGAGAAAGATAGGAAATGGGAAGTAGCACTGTGGCTCAAGTGGTAGAGCACTAGCCTTGAGCAAAAGAGCTCAGAGACAGCACCCAGGTCCTGAGTTCAAGCCCCACAACTGACCAAAATAAAAGAAAGATAGGAAATGATAAGTAATCAATCTCCCCTTACAGTTTCCAAGACCTCTTGCGGGGGGGGGGGGGGGGGGGGGTGGGTGGGAGGGAGGAAGGTGTATCTGAGGTACACATGCCACTTAGATGTGTAGATACTTGTTTAAAAAGGTCACTGTCCCTTGCCAGTCCCAGGTGGCTTACACCTGTAAGCCTAGCTACTCAGGAGGCTGAGATCTGATGATTCCATTTCAAAGTCAGCCCAGGCAAGTAAGTCCTTGAGACTCCTATCTCCAATTATCTACCAGAAAACCAGAAGTGGTGGTGTGGCTCAAAGTGGTAGAGCACAAAAAGGAACAGTGCCCAGGCCCAGAGTTCAAGCCCCACGACCAATTAAAAAAAAAAAAAAAAGGAAAGAGAGAAAGGTCATAAACTGGGCACTGGTAGCTCAAGCCCGTAATCCTAGTTGCTAAGGAGGCTGAGATCTGAGGATCGCAGTTCAAAGCCAGCCCAGGCAGCAAAGTCCTTGAGGCTCTTTTCTCTAACCACCAGAAAATCGGAAGTGGCACTGTGGCTCAAGTGGTAGAGCGCTAGCCTTGAGCTGAAAGAGTTCAGGACCAGTACCCAGGCCCAGAGTTCAAGCCCCATGACTGACCAGAAGAAAAAAAAAAATGGTCGCAGCCCCACCAGTAACATCCACGAATGACATAGGTCATAAGAAGGAACAGCACAGTTGGTGTTCACTGAGAGCTCTATGGTTCTCTCTTCCACCACAATCACCTCAGCCTGCGGCTTGCTCCATCCCAGATTAGTTTCCTCATGGCTTCTTTACAGGGAAAGAGGAAAGAGACAGCATTAGGAATTCCCGAGAGGGCTCTGCAGGAGGAAATGAATCTATGGGGAAGAGCTGCAAGCAGACAGGGCGAGGGGTAAAGAGAATGGCTATGGCTTTACCTGGGCACTGCTTGTCTGGGAAGGGTTTTTGCAGGTCCCAAGTCTTGGTCGGCTAGATCAGGCATTAGGGCAGCTAGAATGGGGGTGGAGGGAGAAGGGGAGAAGGAATGCCTATTTTCCTTCTAGTCCAAAAAAAGATCAATAGCGCTGGATCTTAGGAACAGTTCTCAGACCTAAGTGTGGGTAGCAAAGACCATGCAGAGCCAGCTGTGGGCTATGGCAGAGGAATCTAGGAAACTGGAAAGCGGCAAGCTCCGGGGAGACTGACCTTTCTGCCTCTCAGGATTTCTGGGTTGGGAACGCGAGGCTCCCCTTCCCTACGTTCCTCTATTACGGGGGTCTCTCAAAGAAGCCAAGGACCAACAGGGGACCCGAGGCAGGAGAGACCCTTAGGGGTTTCTCCCGGGCTTGTGCACAGCGCCTCCCCGCGGCCGCTCCGCGCGGCTGCAAAAGTACTTGGTGACCCGCCGGCGGCACTGCTCGCAGCGCACGGCGCAGCACCAGTGGAACTTGCAGTTGCAGCTGGACACCGTCTCGGCGCGGCGCTCCTCCACCGCCAGGCCGCAGTCCCCACACAGCCGGCGGCAGCTGCGGCGCTCCCAGCGGCCCAGCGCTCGCCCGCGCCGCAGGCACTCGCGGCCCTCGGTGCCCAGGAGCCCCAGGGTCTTGTTCTCCAGGCAGTAGTCCGGGGAGTCCTCCAGGTGCACCAGCTCGCGGGTGGAGATGGAGCGGAAGGTGTCAGCGATAGCGCCGCGGCCCGCCGCGCTGTTGCCCGCCCCCTGCAGCAGGTCCACCTTGAGGGCGGCATGGTACTTCTCCTTCAGGTGCGCGCCCACCTCGCGGAACTCGGGCAGCTGCAGCCAGCACGTCTGCGTGGTGCAGCTGCCGGACACACCGTGGCATTTACACGTGCGTTTCATGGTGCCCTTCACTGCCTGGGGAGAGAGCTGAACGTAAGAGGCCCGTCCCCCAGCCCGTGCCGGGCGCCACTCCAGCCTGCGCAAGGAGTTGCCCGCGCCTGCCACAGGGGCCTGCCACAGGGCCGACTCATGCCGGGGGCTGCAGGACTCACCTTGCGGCCAGCTTCATTGTTGTGCAGATTCATGGCTGCCCTGGCATCCTGTCCGGTCTCCAGGGCATCGACAAACTGCTTGGAAATGGCCTCTCCAAAGCCCACGTTGTCACTGCAGCCCCCCCAAAGCCAGCCTTGGCCTCCTGGAAAAGGACAGGGAAGGTCATTGAGCAGACAAGGCGCTTTCTGAGCCACTGTTTATAAATAGATTGAGGTGGTGGTGTTTGGTATAGGAAAGGTGGATTTGTTTCAGTCTAGAAGATTCGTTTGGGGTTTTTTCTTTTTTTGCCATCTTTGGGGTACCACTTTCCGTCTCAGTCAATCCCCTGCTAAATTATGCAGGGAGTTGCCACATGGAATTCTCCTATTTAGTGGGAAGAGAATGCACGCGTGCAGCCTGTGATTAGTGGGGGAAAGGGAAGAATAGTGCTGGAGGAGGACAAGGGGCACAAGTGAATCATGTGAAACAGAATTGAAAGGACACAGAGGATTGGAGCAGCAGTGCAGGTGGAGTGAGAAGTACACCGGGACAGGCAACATGGAAGGAAGTTCCCTGTGCTGGAAAGGAAGATTGTGTCTGCAAGACATGGTGTTCCACTGTTGTTGTTGTTGTTGTTGTCATTATTATTACTATTATTACTATTTTGGGGCTGGGAAGGTGGCTTAGTAGAGTGCTTGCCTGGCATGCATGAGGTGCTGGGTTCGATTCCTCAGCACCACATAAGCAGAAAAAGTCAGAAGTGGCATTATGGCTCAAGTGGTAGAGCGCTAGCCTTGAGCTGAAGAGCTGAAGGACAGTGCCCTGGCCCACAGTACAGGCCCTACAACTGACAGGAAAAAAAATTGTTATTTTGCCAGTCCTGGGGCTTGAACTTAGTGCCTGGGCGCTGTCCCTGAGCATCTTTGGTTCAAGGCTAGCACTCTACCACTTAACCCACAGCTCCACTTCCAGCTTTTTCTGTGTATGTGGTACTGAACCCAGGGCTTCATGCATGCTAGGCAAGTAGTCTACCATTGAGCCACCTTCCCAGCCCCTCTACTGTTGTTATTAAATAAAGAAAGCACTCAATGGGAGAAGAGGACCACCCTGTGGGGCTTGGGCTTAAATAGATTCACTAATTGTCACCATGATTTTCCTTATATTTAGAAGATTATAGCATTAACTCAGCAAGTTCTTCATTCTGTAAGTGAACTTTCTGGGCTGGACTACCCACCCATACTACATCTGTACTCACCCAGTTGCCCATTCCGAGAGTCATCACAGCCACAGTTGTCAAAATCTCCAAGGCTGCAGTTTCTTGTTAGGGTGTACATGACTCCAGCAGAACTGATGGCATGCACAAATGCTGTCTCCCGATTCGCTAACAGGAACCCAAAATCCATAGAGTTAGAGGAAGAGATGGCCCCCAAGAAATTCCAGTCAGGTTATCTTCCTTTGAAGGCCATTTACACTTGCCTTTCCTAGCTCCACCCTATTTCCTCTACTTCATAATGTACTTTTCCCTCCTTCATAGTCTGCTCTACCCCTAGCTTCACCCCCCCCCTTTTTTTTTTTTTTGGTCATGGGTCTTGAACTCTGGGCCTGGGCGTTGTCCCTCAGCATTTCAGCTCAAGGGCAGTGCTCTACCACTTGAGCCACAGCGCCACATGATTTTTCTGGTGGTTAATTGGAGATAAGAGTTTCATAGACTTTCCTGCCCGAGCTGGCTTTGAACCGCAATCCTCAGATCTTCTCCTCTTTAGTAGCTAGGATCATAGGCATGAGCCACCGGCGCCCAGCCTCAGATCGCACATTTTATGACTGGACTATTGTTGACATTATTATTGCTGTTGTTGACTGACATTGTTATTATTGTTGTTGATTATAAGGGATTTTGGTGGGAGTTTGAGAAAGAAGTGTGGAAAGTCATGGTTGTGAAGCCAGATGGTACAGAACCCATCCCTGCTTCCTCCTGGAATACTAGACTGTAACGGACATGCATAGCTAGTCTCACAAAGACCTCTCATGGGCAGTTCTTCCATTTATTGATATGGTTACTGATCTTCTCTGGAAATCTGTTCTCAGTCCTAGTTTCCATTTGTCCAGTTCCTCTCTGTTCAGCTTGCTGAAGAAAGGAGCTAAAAAAAAAAACCCTTGAGTAATTATGAATTATGACTCTGACCTATCTCCTGACATCACTTATATTGAGGGAAACCATAGACAACTGTGTGAACAAGGATGCTATTTATAGGACCGAGGTGAGAGCAGATTCATTCGTTGAACAGTGAAGATGATTTGGAAGAAAGAACAAAATTCCATAGGTAGGAAAAGAGAAGATGGAAAAGAAAAGAGATCCCAGAAGAGGGAGATTTCCAGAGAGAAGAGACCAAGTGACAAAATTAAGTATATGGAGAAGAAAGGGGGACATCCTTTAGGCTCCAAACTGTGACCAGTGGAGGCCAGGATGCCGAGACCAAGCTTTCCTTACCGCTGCGGAGTCCACCATGGCTGGACAGCTGCAAAGCTCTCTCAGGACAGTTCCAGCGGTCCCAGGCAAACTGGTATTTGCATTCTTCAATACCACTCTGGGCACCAGCTGCCACACTGCTAGAGTAGATAAGGTAAGCCTAGAGGAACAGAGAGGAACTTAGGAAGTATTTTCCCCCAAACTGGCCACACAACCTCTCTTCCTGCCCACTCACCCATCCCTCCAAAATAATGGTTGAGTAAGTCCTTTATTCAAATGGTCTCATTTAATATTACAAGTGATCTTGTGAAATAGGGGCCATTGTATAGATTGGGAAGTTGAGAAAGGGAAGGTGAAGTACTCAGTCAGCAAATGGCAGAACTAGGAATGAAAGTCAGTTTTATCAGACTCTAGTTCCCACTAGTCTTTATTTATCGTAGCAAACTGCCTCTCTAAATGAGCTGCAGCTCATGAAGTTTCAGCCCTTCTCCTTCCATTGCCCACTTGGAAGATAACACTTTGGATCTGGAAATCCTCTTTCATGTAGGATTGTGTCAAGCTATTTCTTCATTGGAATTGCCTGGGAAATGCATCCCTCCAATGCACGGAGAAGGATGTATGACTTTGCAGCCTGACACAGAAGGGCTGGTGACTTCTGTTCCTTTGAAAGTATGGCCTATAAAGTCAGAATAAGTACCCTTTAGTCTTACCTGAGCTCTGGCATTAATTGGCCCTGCGTTTTGAAGCATGGTCCTAACTCTCTCTGGGCCTTAGGTTTTCTATGTATAACATCTACTACAGAATTATAAAAGATGTGGCTATAATGAAAAGAAATTGATAGCTGTCAGGTTAAAAATCAGTAATGTTGAATTAGTCAAAGAAGTTTTCCCTTACCTTTGGGCCTGTCATCAGGAAATTGTTCACAGACCTAAAAGAAAAAAATACTTGTGTACAGTGGAAAGACGTCAGCTTGTTTCTGCCTCCAAGAATTGGAAGAATTATGCCATCAAGTATCATTGATAGGAAGAAAGGGAAGCTAGTTTTACTAAGGAAATATCTACGTATAACCAACTTAATAAAGATAACTAAGTAAAAAAGAATATGAATAAATATAGTATAGTTTTGGACTTTGAAAGTAAATTATAAAATAATGTTTGATTATTATTTTGTATAGGGTGGGGAAAGAGAACTAGCATTGTCATGATTGTATACCACACACTACTCTTGGTGTTTTACTTGTTAGTATTGCTAAATACTTCCTGTCTCAAGAATTATTGTCTCTATTTTGCAAATAGTGAATCTTTTAAAATATAATTTTGTTGTTATTATTAAGGATCTGTACAGAGGGGTTACCATTTCACAAGTTAGTTAGTCTTTTTCTTTGGACAATGTTACCCTTTCTTTTGCTATAAATAGTGAATCTTGAACTCAAAAATAAAGTTAAACATATGTTCAATGTTACTGAGCTTTGGATCCAGGTTTCTCTGGCTCCAGGGGACTTTATTTTTTGTACGTTTTTTATTGTAAAAATACTGTACCGAGGGGTTACAGTTACATGAGCAAGGTAATGAGTACATTTCCTATCGATCATTGTTGTTTCCTTTTTGTTTTCCCCTACCATCCCATCCATGGGACTTTAAAAGGATATTTTTCTATCTAGGAGGAACTGAACAGTGAGATGGCTATCTTAAAAATCCAACTCTGGAAAAGTTGTTTTTTTTTTTTCTTTTATAACTAAAAATGAATTTTCCACACGACTCCGCAGTTGCACTCTTAGGTATTCATCCCAAGGAAACAACTTCTTTTACTTGGGCCTTTGTTCCCTAGTGGCCATTCTGCTTTATTCATAAAAGTCCCAAATTGGCAACTGCTCCAATGTCCTTTTAAGGGTAAATGGTTTAAAAAAAATTATGGCATTGCTTAGCATGCTCAAGGGCCCTGGGTCAATCCCCAGCACTGCACCAACAAAATGAAACAAAATATTCCAACAACAAAAACAAAATCCCAAACCAGTGGCACCATGGAATATTAGTCATCAACAAAAAACAGAAAGGAATTGATTATTTTTTTTTTTTTTTTTTTTTTTTTTTTTTTTTTTATTGTAAAGCTACTATACAGAGGGTTACAGTTACATGAGTGAGGTTATGAGTACACTTCCTCTTGAACATTGTTACCCCCTCCATTGTTTTCCCCCTACCATCCCTTCCCTCCCTCCCTTCCCCGAGGTTCTTTTTTTTTTGATTGTGATTAAATGATTACATAATTTCAAAGTCACAAGTTCATTCTAACTTCTCTGGAGCAAATTGTCTACCACAGTCTGTAATATATAACAGTGTTCACATGTTATATACCATATTTGTGATCAGCAGCATGAGGATATTTAGTAGTGGTTCAACCAGATGAGCGGGAGTTCTTTGTTTCTTAAGTCCTGTTAGTTTTGTCGTATCACCTAACCTTTTGGATTTAGCATCCACTTATGAGGGAGACCATGTACCGTTTGTCTCTTCGTTCTTGGCTTACCTCGCTCAACATGATTCCTTCTAGCTCCATCCATTTCCCTGCAAATGCCATTATTTTGTCATTTCTAATGGCTGCATAATATTCCATTGTGTATAGATACCACAATTTTTGGATCCATTCATCTGTGGTGGGGCACCTAGGTTGTTTCCATATCCTAGCTATTGCGAACAGTGCTGCAATAAACATGGAGGTGCACGTGTCCTTGTATATTGGTTCCTGTTGTTCAGGGTAGATGCCTAGAAGTGGTATGACTGGGTCGTAAGGGAGGTCAATCTTTAGCTTTCTAAGGACCCTCCAGACTGCTTTCCAAAGTGGTTGTATAAGTGTACATTCCCACCAGCAGTGTAATAGGGTTCCTCTTTCTCCACATCCCCTCCAGCATTTGTCGTTGGCTGATTTGTGGATGTGGGACATTCTGACTGGGGTAAGGTGGTATCTCAGGGTTGTAGGAATTGATTATTAATAAACACAACAACTTGAGTGAATCTCAAGGAAACCAGAATGATTAAAGTCAACCTCAAAAGGATACACTCTATATGAATCTATTTATGTAACAATAGTGAAATAATGCAATGATAGGACTGAGAATGGATTAGCAGTTGCTGGGGTATTAGAATGAGCAGATAGAAGTGGCTACAAAGAGTACCATGAAGTCCAGTACTGGTAGCTCACACTTGTAATCCTACCTACTTAGGGGGCTGAGATCTGAGGACCACAGTTTGAAGCCAGCTGGGCAGGAAAGTCTATCTCCAATTAACCAGTAAAAAGCCAGAAGTGGAGATGTGGCTCAAGTGGTGGAACATTAGGATTGAGCAAAAAAGCCAAGTGAGAACACAAGGCCCTGAGTTAAAGTCCTAGAACTAGCAAACACAAAAGAGAGGAACATGGGGTGATGATAAGGTTCAGTGTCTTAACTGTGGTAGTTATACCAGAGCACACACATGGCAAAACTCCATCAACATACACACATGCCCTTATATAGGAATACATGCATCCACAAATTTAGGTAGAAATATGAAGTGTGAGTAAGCTCTAAAGATTTTGTACAACAGTTGTAAAATGTTAACACTAGAGGAGGTTGTGGAAAGGATGCATGAGGCTCCCTTGAAAGTTTCTTTGCAGGGGCTGGGAAGGTGACTCGGTGGTAGCGCGCTTGCCTTGCATGCCTGAGGCCCTGGGTTCGATTCCTCAGCACCACATAAGCAAAAAGAAAAAAGCCGGAAGTGGCGCTGTGGCTCAAGTGGTAGAGTGCTAGTCTTGAGCTGAAGAGCTGAGGGACAGCGCCCAGGCCCACAGTTCAGGCCCCACAATCGGACCAAAAAAGGAAAGTTTCTTTGCAGCTTTTGAAAATCTATAGTTATAAAAATTCAAAGTTAAACTTATTTTTATACATACACACATACACACATATATACATATGTACACATACATGTATCTATGTACATATATGTGTGATCGGCAATGGAGTTATGGAGAATGACTTCAGAATGGGAATTTCAAATTAATCAAAATAAGTTATTTTTCCATTATAAGAAAGTAACCTGGGGGGCTGGGAAGGTGGCTCAGTGGTAGAGTGCTTGCCTTGCATGCATGAGGCCCTGGGTTCGATTCCTCAGCACCACATAAGCAAAAAAAAAAAAAGAAAAGAAAAAAGCCGGAAGTGGCGCTGTGGCTCAAGTGTTAGAGTGCTAGCCTTGAGCTGAAGAGCTGAGGGACAGCGCCCAGGCTCAGAGTTCAGGCCCCACGACCAGACCCCCCCCCCCCCAAAAAAAAGAAAGAAAGTAACCTGAGAATCATTATGGGCTGTTCTGTGTAGGTTGTACCCTTGGAATTCTGAAGGTTGATAAGATACTGAAATGTCACTAGAAAGGGGAGTGAAGATAAAGAAGACTGAGTTCAATCAGTTCTTTTGTTAAAGGTCAAATGGCTTACTTGATCTCTCTTAAGGTAACACACACATACCTACAAAATAACTAGCTCTCAAGAAACAATATTAACAAACTAGAGGCTTCTATTTAAGAAGATGGAAAAGAGGGGGCGGAGGGAGGATAGGAAGGGATGGGAAGGGGAAACAAAGGAAGGCTACAATGCTTGATAAGAAATGTACTCATTATCTTGCCCATGTAATTGTAACTCCTCTGTACAGTATTTTCACAATTTAAAAAAAAAAAGATGGAAAAGAATCTGAAAGAAAAAAGCTATGGAAAATCATAGAAGACTACAGAAGTCAGAAAAACAAAGGCCTGCCTTTTAAAGCTTGGTGGACAGAGCCAAATCACCTGAAAAAAAAAATACTCTAAAGTGTGGTCATGCCAGCAAAACACAGAAAGAAGTTCAAGACTACTAAATTGTCTTCTCATAATTGACATAGCTCTGATGAGTTTGGAGGTGAATTTCTGATCCTTAAAGACTGGTGTATCAGCTGCATACACACATGAACACATATATCTAGACATGTACATAAAATGATGAACTCTGAATAACTGTAAGTATTCAGACTCAGAAGGGCAATCTTTATTTTATTTTTTTTTTTTGGTTGGTCATGGAGCCTGAGCTCTGGGCCTGGGAGCTGTCCCTCAGCTCTTCAGCTCAAGGCTAGTGCTCTATCACTTGAGCCATAGCGCCACTTCCAGCTTTTTCTGTTTATGTGGTGCTGAGGAATTGAACCCAGGGCCTCATGCATGCAAGGCAAGCACTCTACCACTGAGCCACCTTCCCAGCCCCAAGAAGGGCAATCTTTATGTCAGGGAAATCCTTGAAACATTTGAACATTACCAGGTCAGATACAGATTAATTCCCCATCACATTGTTGGGAAAGAAAGCAGAACAACAAACACAACTGAGTGACAAAAGACAAAGCTTTGTCATAGGCCTGGGTAAAGATTCTCCCAGGAGATGATTCTACCTTGGCACAAGGGAGTGAAAGGCAGAAGCTCTAGAGGTATCTCCTTGTCTAGGAGTTCCTGTTACATATAAAGATTTGTATGATTTCCTGGTCCAGCCAAGTGGACTAATTAATCAAATTGAATTAAGTGCTTGTCATGGAACAAAACTGTAAGTCTTTTTTTTTTTTTTTGGTCGATTGTGGAGCTTGAACTTAGGACCTGGGTGCTGTCCCTGAGCCTTTTCTGCTCAAAGCTATTCCTCACTTTGGTTTTCTGATGGTTAATTGGAGATGAGAGTCTTCTGGACTTTCTTGCCCGGCTAGCTCTGAACTGTGATCCTTAGATCTTAGTCTCCTTAGTATTTAGGCTAAGACTCTAGGGCACATTTGGATATTTCTGTGACTTGTGTTATTGTTAATCCTTGAGATACTTGAAGACATATTTGAATCACAGGGCCAGTTTACTTATATCCAAAAATATCCAACTTTAAGAAAGACCATGGTTGGGCACTGTGGCTCA